TGAATCTTAATAATGAAACAGAGGAGGAATTTGAAATTCCACCTGTAAATGAATGTTTGTATGATAATATTTTGAATGATAGAATTACTGCTGATGAGATTGTTCATGCTATAAAACATTTGAATAATAACAAAGCTTGTGGTATTGATAATATAGTCAATGAATACATAAAGAGTACGGTTGACACAATGTTACCTGTATATATTGATATGTTTAATATAATATTGGACACTGGTATAATACCGGAAAGTTGGAGTACAGGAATAATCAATCCAATCTATAAGAACAAAGGTGATCGCAAAAAGTTGGATAATTACAGGGCTATTACGTTGGTCTCGTGCTTGGGAAAAGTTTTTACGTCGATTTTAAATGCAAGATTATACAAACTATCTGATGAAATTGAACTCATAAGTAACGCACAAGCAGGTTTCAGAAAAGGTCACTCAACACTAGACAACATTTTTATTTTACACGTTTTGACAACGTTATATTTATCCTCCGGTAGAAAACTATATTGTGCATTCGTTGACTTTAGAAAAGCCTTCGATTCGGTGTGGCGAATAGGCTTGTGGCAAAAACTACTCAAATGTAACATAACTGGTAAAATATTTAAAGTTTTAATTAACATGTATTCTGATACGAAATCTTGTGTGAGAAATGGGAATGAAATGTCAGAAATGTTCACTTCAAATGTCGGACTAAAACAAGGTGAAAATTGCTCGCCTTTTTTATTTGCAATATTTTTAAATGATTTAGAAGACTATTTATTGGAAAAAAATGTCGATTGTTTACTAAAGATTGATGAACTTTGTCATGATCATATTGGTATGTACGTAAAGCTTTTTGTTATTTTATATGCTGACGATACAGTGTTAATGTCAGAGACAGCAGATGGTCTACAATCAATGCTAAATAAATTTCAGGATTATTGTGAGAATTGGAAACTAACGGTAAACACACAGAAGACAAAAATTGTCATCTTTTCTAAACGAAAGAATACTAACAGATATCGATTTCTATTACAGGATAATGAGCTAGACATTCAAGATTCTTTTCCATACTTAGGTGTTCTATTTTACTATAATGGGAGGTTTGTAGTGGCAAAAAAGCAATTAGCGGAACAGGCCCAAAAAGCACTATATGCCGTATATAAGAAAATAAGAAATGTTTCGTTACCCATTGATTTACAATTCAAATTGTTTGACTCGCTAGTTGCTCCAATTTTGCTATACTCATCAGAAATATGGGGCCATGAGGATGTTAGTATACTTGAAAAAATACACCTCCAATTCTGTAAACGAATTCTTGGTCTACGCAGAAATACTTGTAATTTTATGGTATATGGAGAAACGGGCAGATACCCTATTGAGGTTGATGTCAAATTAAGAATGATTAAATTTTGGTATACACTTACCTCGAGTGAAAATAAGTTGTCTAGTCGAATGTACAAATTGATGTACTCATTACATGAAAATGGACAAATCGAGTTTAAATGGTTGAACTATGTTAAACATATCCTGGATAGCGTAGGTCTAAGCTATGTTTGGATCCATCAAAAAACCTGTCTGCCCGATATTACTTATTTAAAAGCTGCAATTATACATAAATTACACGATCAGTTTATTCAATCCTGGTTTAATAAAATTGACACCTCATCCAGAGGACGATTATACTCTACATTTAAATATCGCTTTGGTTTAGAAGACTATTTGATCAGATTAAACGCAAAAGATAGGAAAATTATCTGCAAATTTAGAACTTCAAATATTAAGCTTCCAGTAGAAACAGGAAGATGGGTGGGAATTCAAAGACAGGACAGAATATGCCCACTTTGTAATACTGGTATTGGGGACGAGTATCATTACTTATATACTTGTAATAACGACACTTTAGTCAAAATAAGGGAAAAACATATTCCGGCCTATTTTTATACAAGTCCAAACCAACATAAAATGAAAGGAATGTTCACAATCTTTAATATGAAATTGTTAAAAAGTGTAAGCTTATTTGTTCAAAAATTAACAAAAGTACTTTAGTGTCTCTATTCTTTAAGTTTTTCTTTTGTTTGCTAGTGACATTTTTATAAGTTGAACACTGAATTATTTGTATGTAACTACACGTATATATATTTTTTATGTACTATGCTATGGTATAGAATGTTTGCCTGTCATGCACTCAAACTATGTTATATATACATGACCTCTTGTTACACATATTATGTGTGTCTGAGTGAAATAAAAATCTTGAATCTTGTAATTCGGATTTTAACCGTGCGGTCTGTATTACTATAAAGTATATTGAGCAGCAAAAGAACGATAACTCGTGCTGTCTACCGACCTCGGTACATATGTACGGTGTTTAAATTTGACGTTGTAATGAAAGAGTATTCACAATTACTTCATACATGCATTGTAAATTTTATAACAAAAAGCGATAACAATCTAAACGAATTTCAAGATGGTGCTCCGTGCAAGTTCCAAAACTGAACATGCACAACTAATGACCAAAGACGATCTACTAGTGAAATTGGAGAAAGCTGTCTCTAGTGCTTTCTGAGAAATAGAGATATCAAACTTTAACTGTCAAATCTAAAGATGACTGTCTTGCAAATTTTTCTTAAGATCAGTTCCAAAATTGAACACATAAACTAAGGACCGATGGAAACCTGCTTGAGAAATTCGAGAAAGATCCGTTTCAGCAAGACCTTTTTGAGATATAGCGATATCAAACTTAATTAAACTGTCAAAATCTATAATGGCTGCCTGGCAGTCATCTTGTTTTTGTGATTAGCCCCAAAATTAAACGTGTACAACTAGATTTAAGGACCAACGGGAAACTATGTGATAAATGAGAAAGTTCTCTCTGATACTTCTTAGAAATAGAGATAACTAGCTGCTGCCTTCTGACAGCAGACTTGATTTTAAAATCGATCCCAAAATTTAACCTGCACATGTAAGGAACAACATTTGAAATTTGAAAAAAATAATCAAAAAATACCATGCAAGGAAACACTCTTAGTCCCTTCTCAGAAATAGCGATAAAATGTTAGGGTTTCAAATACAAAGATGGCCGCCTGTTACCTATCTTTTTCGTGCACTCAGTTTTAAAATTAAACATACACAAGAAAGAACCAACATGAATAATTTGTAAATGTTAAGAAACAGTCTTTCGGTTCTTTCTGAGAAATAGACACAACTAACTCTAACTGTCAATATCCGAGATGGCCGCCTGACAGCCATTTTGGTCATACGGTCAGCCCAAAGATAAACCTACCTATGAATTTTTTAGAAAGATCCTTTTAGTACTTCTTTATAAATAGTGATAACAGGATTTATTTGGCACAGACGACGGACAATTTGATGAAAGGGGCATAAAGGATCGAAATTAACGCGAACTTATATTGATTTAAGCTTTCTATAGATTTTAGGGAAACAAAAGTAAGGCAGACGAGACGATTCGATAGTATTTTTTCAAAACCACATGAGGATCAGCTTTGTATTTATCCCTTTAAAGCCATTGAATTTGTGACAGACTACTCTTACGTGTTGCTTGTTGAATTACGGAAAATATCCGTGTAGAATGTTACCTGTCTTTAAAACACGAACTAAATTTAAAGTGTTTTGATTGTAAGACAAATCAGCGACAGATAATCCGCGTAATCGGCTATTATTGCATTTCACGTTATAGTTTCATAACCCACTTAAGACTTTACTTATTCTTTTGAAGTGCAATAAAGTTGAGAACGAAATCCTATTATACCAGCCGCAAGTGTTTCGGCTGTAACAGGTAGCAAACAGGTACACACACCCTATACACTCATTATATACCAAAATTATCTCGATCGACCCGAAGACCTGCTGAGTCGTACAGACTTCCAATATACCTAAATCAATGTTACACTAGAGTACCTGCAAAATTAATCAACGCAGGCCCGGTTTAGCTGTGTCGGATTTCAAAATGCTGGTCATCAATATTGCATAAAGGTATGCCGGTTTCAATTTCGGAAAATAAATCAGTGACCTATCTAAGCTATATATATATATATACGTTGTATGCTGTTACGGTTTAGATCAGTAACCGACTTTCCTACCAACACCTGGGACTGGGCAACTTTACCTGTTACCTGTAATTAAGAAGGTTATACAGGTATGTATACACATTTTGTTTTTTGTCTTTGTCTCTGAATCATTATAATATTTCTATGATAACTCCAAATGTATTCACCTTCAGAACCAGCTTATTTAGCAGATAAAGTAAAACTTCAATTATTAGCATTTTCTTTAAATTAGAACGTATACCTTGCAGGATACAAAATTTAGAAGATGATGCTATTTTGTTCAATGGGTTAAGTGTTCAAACCACATATCATACCTAGTGCGATACAGTTAACAAGACTTAATGAAAATGTTTGAAGCCTGTAAGTAAACCGTCATACAGCGGAGCCTTTTTAATCCGGCTCCTTTTTTATAAAAACATTTCCGGATTAATAGGTTTTTCTAATTAACAAAATTGGTTTCTCTAATGAACAATTTAGATCTTTCGCATAATTCAAATAATTTAGAAAGAATGAATATGTAATCAATTCGATTCCAATTATTACTATTACATTGAAAGATGGCACTAATTCATGAACATTTATCTTATATATTTGTATTTCATTGAAAAGTAAATATTAAGTTAGATTGCTTGCCTCTGTTTGGAGTGTTGTGTTACTGTTGTATATATCATTTTGATGAAAACTTAGCAACAAGACTATATCTTAAACCCAAACAGCTATCCACATATACAATGTCCCTGTTTGTAAACCCATGTATCATTTCCTGTGTGTACACACACATACACACACACACACACACACACACACACACACGTATAATGCATATTATTTAAAACTAAATCGAAACCTGCGTAAGCCGAATATAAAATGGCCGATTTATTCAGGCATACGGAGAAATCAGGTAGCCGGATTACACAAGTTTATGAAGACTGGGCAACTACCCTATATCTCAAACCCCAAAGCAAAGTTTCCTCATTTCTCTAGGTATGTACACCAAGTACAATGTTAACTACTTAAAACTTCATCGAAACCTGCATAAACCGAACATCATTAGACCGATTTATTCAGGTGTACGGAGAAATCAATAACGATTTCTGGAATCAGACACCTGGTTCGGTTTAGACAGGTTGTCTTTGAATTATTAATCGTCAGTGTTGCGTTATATTATATTGAAATGATTCGTTTTAAAATTCGTCATACAAATATTTATTTATTTATATATTATTTTTATCAAATCAATAAAATGTCGAAAGTCTGCATTATAGTCATGATTGATAAGCAGTATCTGGGGAAATGTGTGACGTAGAATATTTATAATTAAAAATATGACTGGAAAATATTGTCATACAAAGAGATGCAATGATATCCCCGATTTGCTGACTAAGGGTAAAAACAGTTGACGTGACGAACAATATAAACAGACCATGCAGAACGATTTCAATAGAGCTTGATCAAAAGCACGCATGACTGATGTCTGTCATGTCCTTTTTCTTTTACAGGTCACGTCACGGATGGCTAGTACGGACGACAACATCGTCCAGACACCGCCTGATGAGGCTGTTGAAGTACTTACAAACCCAGGGAATGAGCCAGCTGCTGAAGCCGACATACCAGTGGAAGGTAAAACTGCAGGTGAGAACCGTAGCTCAATCAGACCAATGTTTCCAAGCGTGCCAATGGAAGCACCGTTATAGCGTAATTTGAATATATTTTTTACACGTTTATGGCCCTGGTAAGAGCCTACTTCTAATAAGACCACCCATCAAGTGTCGCTAATTACGTTATGTCTACATTAGTATGCATCTATTGTATCAACTCCAACAGGGATACTCGGTATCCATAATACGGATACAACAGTTAGAAGATTCTTTATTAATAATATACAGAAAAAGACAATTCTGCCAATAATGCCTGAAAGATGAATAGAATACCACACTATAGTAATGTTCAATATTTCTACCGTTTTAAAACTGAAATAATACAACGCCAGTAATAGCAGTGACATCAATATATTACAGTGCTTTAAGACAAAGATTCATATTTTTCTATACAAAATATCCCCAGGGCTTCAGCTGTTTACAAATCGAGGTGGGTACAAAGGTGGGCGGACTATCAAGCTTTTACAAATTGAGGGTGGCCGGATTATTGAGGCGCATAGTGCTTGCTTCCTTAATATTGACGTAATTTTCTCCTCAAATAAACCTTGATATACTGCCAACATTGACATTATAAAGAGGTTTGGCGAAATATTGATGGAGATGAATTGAGGTATTGAAAAAGATCTAAACATATATTGGCGGTAATTGAGGTAGACAATGAAATGACAGGCGTCATATCCAAGTTTATTGTAAAATACATTGGCGGTAATCGAGGAAGCAAATGTTATAGAGGCGTTATATCGGAGTTTTATTGTACAATAGAGACATTCTATACGTTTAATATCCAGTTTACGTAGGATATTTATGGAACTAAAATTTAATAACAGAAGGTATGTTGTTTCTTTACCTGTATAGATGTAATTATTTTTTACCTTGCCTGAATAAAAATTTCAACTAAATAAACCCTTGTCCCCGTACTTAGGCGATACTTATTGGCATAAACAACATATTGTACAGTCAGCTATTAGCATGCAATTCCGCCTATTCACTTTTACATTTTAGAATGCTATTCATGGATTTGTTTTTACAAATAACGATTTTTTTCTTTAGCTATTATTAAAAATAAGTAAACTTTTTTTAAATTTTAATGTATCATTTTCACACACACACAAAGACATTATACTGTAAAGAAAATTATTAAGAAACAAGTATAAAACAATTTTATCAGTATATTTCTCCTTTGATTAGAAAGATAACAGATTCAACTATAAACACGTGCGTCAGAAAGGTGCGCGGTGACCGAATTGCGTGTTGTTCACAGATCAGTGCAGGTTTAATTTTATTTTGTGTAAAAAAATAAGATCAAAATACATAAAGAATTTTTATTGCCGAAAGCAATCTATGAGTAGATTAGTGCAACTATTATATATTGACAATATTTAAGTCTTTCGTAAGTTGGGCAATTATATATGTGAAGCTAATGAAAGAGGAATGAGACTAAAATATGCATAGTTTGGTGTACAATTGTTTGTTTTACAATTTTTACATACAGAATAGATACGAAAACAACTCTGAAATACCTTGATAATGTTCATATCGATATAACTATTGATGATCCTATTAACATTGTTGATGGTTTGGTTTGTCTGATGGAGGCGGGTTGTTGATGAATTTGCCTCCTTTTCGATAGCGCGGATCTGATGCCGACTTTTAAATGCTACCTTGTCGAAATACCATGTCAAATGAAGCAAGCATAGTATTTCGGCTTGTCACAAAGCACTTACAACGGGTCAGAAGTTGTTACAAGTACCTTATTGCTGAACGTTTAACAGGGAATAGCAACTACCATTTTAAGGGCATATGCACATGTATATGCCGGCCTGGGGACAGAAGCCGTTGCCTTTTCCACTTGAGTGAACGTTTCAGATTTTAAGGCGAAAAGTTAGGTATTGCCAAGCAAGGCGCGAGAAAAGAAAAATAGTTTCTGAGAAGTAAAGAATAAACATAAAGATTCTAAGTTTGCTATGGGCGCAGCAGATTTATTTTTGTCGATTTGGTGTTCCCCAAGTTAAGGAAACAGAAGCGAAATTCTGCAGTGGTTCAGGTTTTTTTTACATTAGTTACCTAGTACAGCACGCACTGGATAACAATATCAGGTATATTCTTTTCTCAAAACCCGACCTGCAAGGGTATGATGATGATGACGAAGACGCCGACGACGAGATGATGTTAAGATGATGATGTAAGGTAGGTCATTAGTGTGGAACGTTGGCTNCCCCCCCCCCCCCCCCCCCCCCCCTCTTTCTAACAAAACATGCATAAAGTGCTTAAATAACAACCTCCTGAATGTTCTACTGATAAGCTGGCAAATCTAGTGATTTATCCCATTTTTTTAAACAATTCTTTGTCTTTCAAAAGAAAATACCTGTTTTTGCAAACATAAATAGTGGTTCTTAACATGTAAAGTTGACCTAAAGAGCTGTACCACTGGGTAGACATCGCTGCTGCTGTCCCGATATTTAAGTGTCAGCATCCTTGTACATATGGATACGCATTGCATGTAACTTCTAAAAAACACAATCTAATACACAGATACCTTGTTGTATATCATATACTACGCGTTAATAGTTATTCATGAAGCAACGTTTCGCAGGCGACGCTAAATAATTGATGAGCCCGTCAATCAATACCGCCGGCACCGTTTTGGTGTATATAACCTACTTACACGTGTCGCCAATCAATTGCTGACACTGAACATTCCATTCGTACGGACACCCGACCCCAGAACTTCGCGCCACCAAACGATAGCCACTGGTCAGTTTCACGATGGACATAGTGACCATGACCTTCAGTTCGATCCCACATGACGCCAGGTGGGAAAGCCACCAGCGAGGTAGGACGACACTCTTGGTGCTATATATGTCCCAGGCAGAACTTTTGAGGGCACGAATACTATAAACCAAACGGGTTGCTACCACGATTTTGGACAACTTGATTTGTTCTTAGTACATCATTATCTATATTCCACTGTCATGCCTATTCTTGTAATCTCATAAAATCGAATATATTTTTCCTAGAATTTGCATAATTGGGTTTCCAATGTGTTACATTAAAACCGTTAACGCTGTCACGCTATCGTCACTTGGGATTCACGGTGAGTTCATTTGCATATGCCAATGATGCCAGGTCATGCATACCCTATACCATAATGTTGTATTTGTGGTACTAGACTTTGTTGAGTTTACATGAACATCCGTTTCGGTGGCAATGGGTACGTATTTCTATCATTTTACCAATGTAAGGAATGCTAGTTATATCTTTGTCGATTATATTGCAATTTCTTACTTAGATTAGTTCTAAACGTGCGTAGCAATGTGAGAAAACGTTTCTTGCACATATGCTGATTCATCATCGGACTATATTGTATACTGATTTTAAGGGTATTTATGTATACATCTATTCTATAGAGGATGTCGAAAGCTTTGGCGTTTCATTGTTGTTTCAGTTCCTCCAGTGCTCCTTCAAATTTGCTTTCATATACATTTTGCAGTATTGCCAAGTTTGTAAAGTTGTTTGGAAAGTGTTTTCACCATTAATATGCTCCAGTGAGCATGAAAAGACATAGCTATGAGCGAGATAAGACCTGCATTAATTTGCACCACATAATTTTTTTCTGCTTAGATGTAGAAGATAACTTTGAAATTGTCATGCACTGTATTTTTACTAGATAACATACCGACATGCTTATATATGACGTAGTGTTAACACTTGATGACTTTGTGTGATATTGCAACACCCATGCCCATCCATCAATCATGCAAAATAGCTAATGCATTCCGTTATCCAACTTTGGATCGATTTACTTCCATAGCACCCCTCTACCCTACCCAATAGCACCCCCTCTCCTACTACATACTCCCCAACTCCCTACCTCATTAACTAGAAACGAGTTGCGACTCTTAAACTGTTTTTCATATAGACGTGTCTTTCTTGTATGTCTTTATTTGTGTGACAGTTTCAGAACAATGTGTTTGTACATTATGCATGTCTTCGTTTCAGCTTGGGACACCTTTTAAACTAAAAAAGAGATTTATCCCTAATATTTGTTTTATGTTCATTCGCAATATCGATTGCACATTACAGAATGTCATTCATAGATTTATCTTTAAGATTGACAAAATAAATATCATCAGCAGTCATTCAGAATTTTGTTTACCATTGTCTTTCTTATTTCAAATATACCACAAGTATGCTATTTTGCAGAAAAGGATTAGAAAAGAAGGTACAACAATTATACTTAACGTGTTGCAACAAAACTTTTCCGTATATTTTACATTGTTTTGTGTACAAATGTATGTGAGACTAAATTGTTTCCCCCCCTACAGACATGGAGGAACTGATCCGGAGGTGTAACCAGTCCATAGTTGACTCCCAGAAGGCGCTCACGAAGTATGACGCGGTACAAGAGGAGATTCAAGGGGCCAGGTCCAGTGTCATTGGGGGTATTTCCCGCCTACAGCGACCCTCCAGACGATGGAGACGTGCACGGGATGACTGTGCGTACCAAGTAACAAAAGCGTTTGATGTGAATTCCTGAAGCTTCGAACTTCAATGCACCTATATAGTCTAAATATTTGATATACATCTATGTATCTCGTATAACGCTTCGGCAAATCAGCTTGATTGAAGAAAAAAATATGATATTTGTTATGCTGACTTGACATTTCCTAAGTGAAGTATATATACTAGTATATATATTTTAAGAGCTTACTAGTTAGCAATAACCAACATACTTCAAAAGCGTTAGGTTTTATTAATTGTTTGTCACAAATAATTTTGTTTAAAGCGTTGCTGATAAGGCTGTTAATAGCATTTCCACCATAGCGTAAAGGAGTCCAGGAAAGATGATTTCATCTTTGCAAAGGTTCTTGATTTTGCAACAATTCTTTATCTTTTACAAATCATCACTTGTTGAGGCTTCAACATTTTAAAACTGTTAGAACACTGAAGATTTCATTTAATTCTTAACAGATGCTGATGGCCAACTCTATGGCACCATCATAGAAGCGACGAAAAGGGCGGAGCCGATAGCGCATAGCACGCCCAACAAACCCGAGAGGGAGGACAATCCTGTAGGTCGGGACAAGATTCTGATGGGAGAGGCACTGACCAGAGGGGATCGAGAGTCAAGTCCAAGAGCCCGCGTGAGTACTCGGGATGACAGAGAAATGAGTCCTTTAGCTAAGGCACGAGCTAAACTAGACAGGGAAGCTAGCCCAATGGCACAATCACATGCGAAACAGGAAAGAGAATCGAGCCCAATGGCAAGAGCGATCGCCAGGAATGACAGAGATCCGAGTCCACTGATCAGGGCGGTGTTAAGGAAGGAGAGGGAGCATAGTCCCATGGCGCGAACTAGAATAGCAAGGGAAGGCTATGCGGCGAAAAAGTACATCGTTCCGCCGATCATTCTCAGTCGCGGGCTAGCCTCGAGGCTAGATCATCCAAGTAGTTCATTCGAAGAGGAAACCACGGGTGAAACTGAGGAAGATGTGATGGATGCAAAACTGGAGCAACTTGAAGATGATCTAACAGCCGCGCCGGATGTTCCTCCGAGGAAAGCTAACTCGTCCTATGCGCAGATCGTTATGCCAGAATCAATGCCTTTGCAGGAACGACTTCGTCGGTACCGAGTGGCACAGTTTAAAGACGACGAAATAGGTATTCCGATATCTATTCAGGAAAAACTTCGTTATCGAATGTCTCTGTTAGGTGATGATGATGTTCTCATGCCGTCTTCCCTTACACTGAAGGAAAGACTTAGGTACAGAATGTCCCTCCTGGAAGACGATCTCGACGACGAAGTTTGGGAGCGTATAGCTTCTCGTGTGGCTCAGAACAATGATTCGGACATCGCCGTTCCAATATCTACAATGAATGGAGAAACACTTTACTACCGGGTATCCGCTACAGACGCGGTAGTCCCAAGAGGGCTCTTCCATCACGCGGCCAGGAACGGAGATCTCGCTATGGTCCAAACTCTCGTAATGGATGGGGTCGACGTGAACGATGTTGATGGGGAAGGGATGACAGGTCTACACCATGCCGTATCTAAGTCCCAGGTCACTGTAGCAAAGTTCTTACTTTCTTTAAAGTCCATAATTGTAAACATGGCCGATATGAAGGGAAAGTCGCCTCTTCATTACGCCGTAGAGAACGGTCATACTCCAGTCCTTGTCTCCCTTTTGGCTCATGGTGCGTTTCCAAACAGTACTGACAACCAAAAGCAGACGCCACTCCACAAGGCATGTCGCGATGGGAAACACAACATCGTCGATATCCTCCTGGACCACGGGGCTTCTCTTTTCGCTTTCGATGATGCAATGAAAGCCCCACTACACTATGCTGTTGAAAACAACCATCCTGCTTGCGTTACGACTCTTCTCAAGAAAGGCGCGCCCGTCAACAATAGCGACGGGGATCAGCGTACACCTTTACATTATGCAGCACAGCGAGGGTTCTTCTTGATAGCAGATATCTTATTGTCCAACGGAGCAATGGCAGATGCACTAGACAAGGATATGAAAACGGCCCTTTTCATCGCCGTTCAGAGCGACTTCATTTCAATGACTCGGACGCTTATCTCATACAATGCGTCTGTAAACACTGCTGATATAGAGCGTTTGACCCCCCTCCACATCGCGTCCGTCAACGGTAACACTGACCTGGTTCTTTTGCTGTTGCAGCATGGAGGAAGAGTGGATGCTGTGGACTGCGCCAACAGGACACCGATCAGTTACGCCGTGGATAACAACGAAATAGAAGTGGTTCAACTCTTGCTTCAATACGATGCCAGCGTAACTATTGTCGACCTGCAAGATATGACGCCTCTCCATTACTCAGCAGAAATCGGAAACGAATTTCTAGTCCATCTTTTGGCTGATCACGAATTGAAGCATTCTTCGAGTGACACGACATACAAACGTCTTCTAGACGTCGCTTTCAAATATCAGAACGAACTGCTCGGAAGTATGACCATGAACCACGCCCTTAAAGGTTACAGTGAGATTATTCAACAGGATAATCAAACGGAGAAGAATAAAAGAGAGGCAACCGAGATGATGAAGTCATTGCTGAATATGGTCTGTAAACACTTCAGTCATTATCATGGAGAGAAGCTGGTCCGTGTTTGGCCGGGGTACAAGGAACTTGCTGCCGACAGTCCAATGATTGTTGTCAACGTTTCAAACCTCCCGAAAGTGAAACCTAATGTTTTCATGGGACTTCCGATAGTATACAAGCTTTACGGTTTAGTTAGTGACGAATCCATCGTCCTTAGTTACTCCAAATTAGAAATAGAAAAACTCGCAGATCCTTTAGAAATCATGGCCATTCAACGCACCATTAACAGAAATATCGCTCGGTTGAAACTAGACCACAGCAACCTCGTTAAAGTCAGCGCAAGTGCAGTTCGGTCATTGCAAAACGGGTCTTTGCTGGCGAAAGAAGCTTGCATTGTATTGTATTGTAAATGCAAGGGCGTTATACCGTTTGGAGAGAAACCCTTCCCGAAGTATATTGAAGATATCCCTGTTGATATAAGGGATGGATTGGGTGGAGATACAGAGGGATCGGAGCATCGCATTATCGCTAGCAAACATACAAGAGAAGCCATGGACAGATCGAGAAGCAGTGATGATAGTAGCCGAAAGAAACTCGAATTCTAAGCAATGAATATATATAATAACTTTCTGTCATGAAGTAAATTTCTTTTTTTTGGTGATTGTTGTGATTTTTCATCTTATGCAAATATTTGTGATTTGGTACACGTTAGTGACGGTCTGAGGAGTGATTGTTTCTCATACAAACTTTAGAGAATTCTCTCGACTACTATGCTTTTAGATCCTACGAGGACTTTGCGTTTGATTTTCATCAGTTGGTTCTAGGTTGTTGCTTGTTACACCCTTTTAATCACAATATACTGTTACTATTGTTAGAAGTCACTGTGCCATAGAGGTAATATATTGTATAGATCCACTAGTGACATCACTGAGTTACTTCAATTGTTTATTAATTCCACGAAATGACTGTGATTGGGATTTTTGGCAAATGTTATGTTGAAGTAAAAGCACGCACTAGTTTTTCTTTCGTTATTTGTAGATTGTTAAATCTTTACTTACGTTGTTGTTGTTTATACACTATGTTCATTTTTATATATCTATATTTTAATAAATACACATTCTATAATTCACGTGTCTTCCGTTTCATTTTTTACCACTGACAATTTCAGACAAAGAGACTGCATCTGTAAAGATCACATTATAACTGTTTCCTTTGATGATTTGATTTAAAACATCACATCCTCATTACCAGTTGCGGAAAAGATGACTCACAGTGCTTCAGCTAGATCGATGCGTCACAGAACTTAAACCAAATCAGTACATGCATTGACATTGCAAATCTCTCCGAGGAGTAAACATGATTTTCGTTTCTTCTTGTAAAAACAAAAACTGTATTAAGTTTGGAACAAAACTGTTCCAATCAAGTTTTACAACGTGGTGATGTAATGCTTTTAATCAAACGATTTTTTTTATAAAAATATCGTGATTTTGTTGTATATAGGTACCGTTTTATCATCTAATATGTATAATGCTGCGTAACAAAAGGTGCACTTTGATATGTTTTCTACAGCATTTCCAAATACAGAGTTCAAGATTTCACATCTATATATTTTGCTCAACCCACACATCAAACTTTTGAAACTTCTGCCATCTAAATATCCAGCCAGCAGGCCCCGAGGCATTCACCGTCCTATCAAATATTCCGCCCAAAAGGGAAAAAAACACAATCTATTTTTGATTTGGTTCTATGGTCCCAATACGGCACCGTTTTCCTCTAAGAAAAGTAAACATGTTCACAATTGATCCGACAATTTAACGTTATATTATTATCTTACCTCAAAATGAGGCATTATCTGTGATTGCCATCTCTAGTGTGGTAACGAATGAGACTCATTCACATATGCGTATTGAGACATGATACGCCTCATAGAGGTCTGCATCTTTAAAATTTAGTAATAGATAAAGTGTGCCAAACAGGAAATACACTGCTTCGTACAGCTGTTTTGTCCTTCTAGAACTCATCAGCGAAACCAGGAGTTAAGTGCTGGAAAGTTTGCATTTTTTACTCGCACTTATATTCTTGACGTTGTGAAAAAGAGGTAAAATCTAATTTAAATATATTGTAATTACTGATTTGAATATGACGTAACATTTTGACATAGTGGGATTTAAAATGATTTGTTTTGCCACTTGTTTTAGACCACCAGGGTCCCTCTAACACACTGTCCTATAAAGAAATTTTGGAAATCGGAAACATTGGTGTAGACTCATTTGCATATCTGCGTCAAATAAAATTCCGTGCATTAACCAATTGAAAGGATCCAAATACATTATTAAGTTTAAGAAATCACAGCTCTAATTTAGTAAATAACCTGACATTTCTTTAGAATTTTAAATTAATCATGTGTTGATGAAACATTTTCCTTACATCCGTCAGGTGAACGTAAGTGTTATCTCCCCTGCGCAATGGTATTCTTGTCAAATAAAATTCCGTGCATTAGTTAAATGTAACTTACCATTTTTCCTTATGTTACATATAAGATACCTCTATCAAAATTAAAAACGTTTGACAGCGAATAATCTCTTTGTACAATATCAAAATGTGCCAAACAAAAAGACATTGTTTGAGGAAAAAAAGTGATGCTTGCAGGACTCGAACCATCGAAGACGAAAACGTCGATACTCGTGTCTAAGTAAAACCTACCGGTTTAGCCCACTACACCACTCCATTAGATATTGTAAAATCGATTTTTAATACTTTAAGGCAAAATCGTGTGACTGCATTTTATTATGTAAACAGAATTATTTCATTGTTGTTAATTTTACAGCATGTACCATTTTGAGAGCTTGAATGCTCGTGGTATGAATGTGTACATGAATGGGCATCGCGCTATGTATGTCTTAAAAAGGAAGTGTAGCGTCCATTTCCTGTCAGTTATGTAAATTTACCCGCTATAGATAGATCTCTTGAAACTACTGAGATGGGGTTATTTCAAACTCCCAATTTTACCGTTACGCCATATCTTTACAAGTATAGGGACCGCAGAACCAAATGTTTTTCCATACACGATAGTGTTAACGTTTACCACTGTCCTGGTTAAATGGGGTTATCCACACTGGTTCACCTGCCCTCATTTTGAAGAATGTCATTTCACCCACCTGTAAAAAATAAGTTTAAAAATTCTACCTATTTGAACTTTTTTTATATGGGGCCTGCGCGCCATTTTGTACAACAAATTACACACTTAATAAACTCCCCCAGGCAAAAACTTACTTGAATTTGTTTTCTTTCATACATTTTACATCTATATATATTGCTCAACCCAAACATAAACCTTTTGAAACTTCTGCTACCTAAATATCCAGCCAGCAGGCCCCGAGGCATTCACCTTCCTATCAAATCTATTTTTGATTTGGTTCTGTGGTCCCTATATGGCACCGTTTTCCTCTAAGAAAAGTAATTATGTTCACAATTGATCCGACAATTTAACGTTATATTATTATCTTACCTCAAAATAAGGCATTATCTGTGATTGCCATCTCTAGTGTGGTAACGAATGAGCCTCATTCAAATATGTGTATTGAGATATGATACGCCTCATAGAGAGTTATAGGATGAAAAAATATTGATAAATCTTCACATGGTAGTTAACTCTACTATATATATATTTACTGATAGCGATAAAATCACGTGCTTATGAAGATTTTCCCCGGCCCTGTTATTTTCTTCGTTCCTACACATAACTTGTTTGAAGAACAATCCCCTCCCTCTATCCCCCTAAAACATATTTTCCAACACATTCTGCTTCTTTAAAATTAAGTAATAGTTTAAGTGTGCCAAACAGGAAATGCACTGCTTCATACAGCTGTTTTGTCCTTCTAGGACTCTTCAGCGATGCCAGGAGTTAAATGTTGGAGAAAGAGAAAGGAAGGTGGGTGTAAGAAAACCCTTATATTCCTGAAGTTATGAAAAAAAGAGGTAAAATCAAATTTAAATATATTATAATTACTCATTTGAATATGACGTAACATTTGGACATAGTGGGGTTTAAAAATGATTCGAAATGATTCGTTCTCCCACTTGTTTTAGCCCACCGTCCTACCTCTAACACACTTTCCTATAAAGAAAATTTGGAACTCGGAAACATGGGTGTAGACTCATTTGCATATCTCGTGCTTTGCGTCAAATAAAATTCCGTGCATTAACCAATTGAAAGGATCCAAATACATTATTAAGTTTAAGAAATCACAGCTCTATTTTAGTAAATAGCCTGACATTTCTTTATAATTTTAAATTAATCATGTGTTGATGAAACAATTTCCTTGCATACGTAAGGTGTACGTTATCGTTGTCTCTCCTATTTTCAAATACTTGTAATTTAAATGAAATACGTTTGTAACACCGTGTCGGGATGAGGTTTTTCTTACGTTTATAAAGACTGCTAGACGGTGTTACTGGTATGTTATCAAAACGAAGCAAATCGTGTTTCCTGGCCTGGCCGGGTTGTCACGTGAACAACGTTCCCATTAACTAATTCTCCTGACCTCCGACCCTCTGCATAATAAAATAGTTTACTTGCCTGCTAAGCCGTTGAGTTGTAAATTCTTACCCGACCTGAATACACCATCAATTCTGACATCTCTTTACTCCGATGAATAATTAAAATGAATTATCAAAAAGTTAACAAATAGGATTAACACATTACAAATACCATACTCGTGCGTGTACAGTACATATCTGGTATTGTATGAAAGACCTGTGTTTTAGGCAAGCAAACAAAATAGTCTAAAAAGCTACACAAACAAATACGTTTTCAGTGCTAACTAATTACTTAAACGTAAATTTGGCGCATAAATTACGTATGAAAACGGTACTTAAAAATGTATCCCGAATTGAAAAGAAACATTTTTAAATTGATCAACTGAATACAAAAATATTGTGTTGAGTGGCAAGCCTATAACACCCGTATGTTTAAATGAGTGAATATCCTTTAATTCTCAACGAAATTCAATTAAAATTAAAAGTATATTAAATTTGAATGTATTGGAAAGTGTGTATATTTTGAACAATGCCACTACTCAAAAGAGATAACTGTGGCCATCTACGTTATGCCAAACTACGGTGACTACAACATCCACCAGCAAAGTCCGCGTGTTGGATACATTTCAATTCGTTTTTCAAATCTAACAAGGGGAGGTAAATTGAATTTTACACTATATAAAATTCCAACAATGTAAGAGTTCTGTGTAGCAAGAATCGTTCATATTGATGCAGTACTTTGGAAGGAGTAGTGTTAACAATGTTTTAAAATAAAAGGGCATAACACCCATGAGAAAATAGCCAAATCCAAATATTGATAGCAGACCACTAAAGACTGTGTTGACTACATCGGTAAAATTTCATCAAATTTATCTGAACACAGCAGGATGAGTTGTACAGCCAAGAATGTGTACATTTGAAATATGAGACTCCTTCTTGAGAAATAGCAATAATAAGAATTGTTTGAGGATTTATTGTCAAAAATGGGCAGCTAATGTCAGCTCTATGACATAGAACATCATCAATACAAAGGGTGTTGTAAATAGGAATAAAAAAAGAGATTTCTATTCTTTGAATGTTATAAATAATTGCAATTGTTTTGACAAAGATTTGATTTAAAAATAATGAAAAAAAAACCCAGCTACAATAAAAAACAAAACTATGTTTTCTTAGATTAGAATGGCCATGCATGTTGCTTAATATTGCAGTTGGGCTAATCCATGCCACAGGAAAATGAAGAAAAAAAAATACTGAACAAAATAACACCAGACCAGCATCAAGTGAAATATGTCAATGAAAGAGAGTCAGTAGGTCACATGAACTTATGAGGTAGTAATTAAGGTTATGTCGCATATTACATCATTGGATGATGGACAAATATAGACAGTATAAATGGGTATCCTCAGCAGAAAGTTATGACAGTAATTATCAAAGTGTCGGGATAAATACACAAATTCAAATAGTCGTATAAAATAATGACAAAATATAACTATGAAAACAAACCCCAGAGAAATTACACTGATTTTATAAACACACATCTCAGTACAAGATATGTGTTCATAGAAAGTACATGTATAACAACATGTGTACTTTTCACAATGCATATTTGCACTCAGAAGTACAACTTGATGAAGACATCCATTTAAAACACACACAAAAAATGGAGAAGTTGAATTATTTATTACATTTATGCAGCATTGTCTGGTACTTAAAGATCATTTTGAGTTAATAAAACAGATCAATTTGTCAGATTCAATTTGTAAGTCATACATATTTTGAAACTTTTCATTTTTTCAGCACTAAACAGTTAACAATGATGTACATCATGCTATAACATTCCTGCTTGACTTAGCTAGAAGGTCTGACTCCCTACCCCCTGTAAAAGCACAGGGGATTGTAAATACTAGACTGACATTAGCCTCTGGAACACACAAAAAAAATGCACTGAATTCATTAAAGAATAAAATTAGACTCCTACAATTTCATAAAGAATCGCATTCAAACTAATGTTAACTAGTAGGACGAGGAATAGTGATAAATATAGTGCCGTCGCTGGGGCTCGAACCCGCGACCCTTGGCTCTCCAGCCCGATGCTCTATCGCTGAGCTACAAGGAAAAATCCCTACAGCTACCCTTACTGCTGTATACCATCCACCTCAAGACGTTAACGCATAGATGATATACGGTAGCTCACTATATGAAGAAGAATTCATACGGCGTGACGGAATGATGATATACGGTAGCTTACTATATGAAGAAGAAGTCATACGGCGTGACGGAATGAACAATAGGGGATTCAGCCTTGTTAACTTTTTTTTAGTAACAATGACTTTGATCACGAACACTTTTAAAGGGACATCACGGTGAAGTGCATATATATAAAAAAAAATTCAAATACTACATAAACATATCAAGTGAGTCTCCTTATGGAAAATAACGATCATATTTGGTTGATCTATATTCACAAAAATGAATGATTTTAAAATAATCATCGGGATTTCTACCTGTCTGACCAACGTTTTGTTCAGGGATTTCCCTCTACTAGCGCATACACATAGCACACCATTTCATTGTAACTGGCCGTGGGAAGTTAGCGAGACAAAATCGTTACAGCGTTAGCTATGAAGCGAAAAGTTACGGAATCATTTTTGCAGATGGGAAGTATTCAAAGGTGAAATCAACTTCCCTAGCAGTTAGTACGGTGCATGTTTTCTTTTGGATAACCGGTTAAAGCTGAAATGGAATCGACAGAAATGATGTTTATGTTATGAATAAATATCAAAAACTATTAACCTCGCTAGGATCTTTGTCTGAGTTGGAACGGAGATGAAATTATTTTGTTTTGTTAATGGGCATGTATCGGAGAGAGATTACTTTGTGTTTCTATATACAGTAGTTTATGTGAAAGGAAGGGATAAGTGACTGGTTAGTTTGATTTTGCTATGAGGCCCTCCAAGGGATAACTGTTGTGATGGCCACGGCGTATTCTGTTCTCTCCTCTGTCGGTACTCGGGGTCAAATGAGATACGTGGGGCCAAATAAGATACATGCGCTATTAGATTTACATGATTTGTAATATTCTCGCGTTCAGTAAAATGCTATGATTTTATTACATTGCTGAAGTTAACGATTTGTTTTACGTTCAGGATGAAAAACTGAGGAAGGAGAACCTACTTAGTATCGCATAACAACTATCTTTATTCAAATCGTAATGTTTCAACAGTTCATGTTTTTATATATGATGTTGACTTAGAGTATATGATCATGCAACAACCTTTTTTCTATAAATAGTTAATTTTCTACTTCAGATATAATAGGAAGACGCATGCAAAACGGGAAAAAGTCATTTGTTTACGCTGTAAAAATGACGCGTTCTGCCGATAACTACGGCTTCTGTTTCGGTCAAAAAGAATTGATTAAAGAAAAGTTGTCTCTACATAAAAAGGGTCTATTTAGAAGTATGCTTTAATCTATGTAAAGTATTGAAAACATATAAAAGTTTATCAAGTATCTCAACACGTTCCATATCTGACACATATTCTCCATGTACACGGAGCGGTTTTGCCAGAAATGTTTAGTGTGCGTGATGGCTAATATGACTAACTAAGTGTTAGCGTATGAAAACAGTGAAAGTGGGAAAGAGAGTATACCTGAATATTTATAAAGTATGGTCTAGAAAAAAGTGGCCAAAAACATTGAGTTGTACAATGTAAGAAAAAAATGACAATAGTTTCTCTTTTTCTACTTGTCAATGCATATATACACTTTATGAAAACATTTGAAAAGGAATATTCATCTCCTTAATATTCGTGTTTACAGAAATGTTTGTCCTCTGGTTGAGGGAAGGTGTTTAGCCCCGTATCCATTTGTACCGGTCACATTCCGGTAGTAGATATTTCTTGGTGTCTATAAATAATACCAACAAAGATTTCCCCTTTGGAAACACTTTGCATCTCGGTCTTTACTGCTTCGTGTCAAAACCGTCAGGTGACATTATTGGCGCTGTTTTTAACAGGGCTTTCCCGAACGATTCAAGTGGTCAACCTGGACATTTGGAACGGACTATGAATATGGGGATAGCAAGGTAACATAAGTGGAAGTGCATACAACACATACATTAATTAAAAACAAATATGGATCTTCACGTGATGTCCCTTTAAACCCATACTGCATACAGTATATCCATGTCAAATTTCTCAGATAATTTCTGGAAACGAAAGGGTGGACGGTTTAACAGACAGACGGACGTACACAGTGATTATTAAAAGACATCCACATCTCCAGTGCATGACTCGAAATATAGTTTATTAGTTTTAATCATAGCTGATTAGGCATGCAAGTGCTTCCATAACAGAAAAGTACATGTACAAAAGTATCAGACAATCGCGTATATGACGCAAGTTCAAAGACGCGGTATAATTTGGGTCAGTGTGTCTTGGGTATATGTACTTACATCAAGTGGTTGCGAGGTGAAGATGTGTGTACTCTTGGTGGAATTCTTCGGGATTTTAGTCGCTGTGTGCCTTTGTTTACTCGTTTCTGTGGCATGGCATATTCATCGACAACATCAAAAGTGTGATCATCTACCTGGGCCTCCCAGGGACAGGTAAATATATATAAAAGAGAAACATATTATAAGTTACACACTGTATTTATATTACAGTTTCTACATGATGCTTGTCAAGACCCGAATCGTTTTCTCTTTTTTTATTCCTTCCTCTTTTTCTTCTGCTTCTTTTTTCCACGCCATGAAATGGTCTGCGCTGCTTCTGAAAAACTAAAATGCAAATAAAAGATGAAACTTGGCATGTGTAGACATGTCGGCAACCTTTATGATATGTAGGTGTATATGCCATAGGGAGCAATACAGTGACTCGAAATAGCATCAGTTGCGACGGCGGGGCTAGTTTTGAGGACTTCTGTAACGGCCCCTGTTACAATTAGAACTTTGTTGCTAACCTACAAATCATGCGGATATCACATGTTGTGCATGATGCTTGTTTTGGTCCTTGATTATGCAACATGTTTAGCCTCTGGTTTATTTTGAATTTTATCAGTTTTATCAGTTGTTATGGTCGGTAACGTCATTAATAGCTGAATCAAAGGAGTCAATCTGCCTTGAGCGTCCGTTCTATCCAGGTGAGAAATAATTCCCAATTTTCTTCAATTCAATTGCGTTTTGATATATCAGCAGCTTCCTGTTTCTTTTCCTCTGCCAAAGCAAATGTAGACGTATTGTCAGCTATTACTTGACATAGGAATATTTTCCTCAACATTATTCGTGCAAAATATAACAAAGCATGGATTTAAGACTGATCTTTGTGCAACCCTAATTTTAAGGTTTACATTATATTTAGATCCATCAAAATCATCCACTTTTTAAGATAAGAAGAATATTATTAAGTTGTTTTTTTTTGCTCTCGTACTGTGCATTGGAACTGGAATTGTATGGCAACTTTTGAAGCAAAACTGGTATATGGAGACTTTTTTGCAGTTCAGAAGATATATTAACGGGTGCGACTTAGACAATATCAGATTTTGAAGAATGCTAATTGAATTTAGAACGCAATTAGACAAAATATTGCCTGCAATAATTACATGTACAACAACGAAAATAGAAATAGGCAGTAGATAACGTGTTAGGGCGAGTAGAATAAAGCGACATCACGGTGAAGCTAAATATTTTTATGTCATGTTTTCAAATGCTGCATAAATATATCAATTTAGAATGGTGTGTCATCTTTTTTTTTTTCTATTTTGTCCAAATATTTTATTCCCCCCAGCCATTTTTTCATAAATATGTATATACATATACTGCTTCCAAGCAGATATATATATACATATATAACAAATTTGACACACAGAGACACAGACAGACAGACAGACAAACAGACAGACAGACACACAGACACACAGATACACAGACACACACACACACACTCACACACAGACCGACACATAGACACACAGACAGACAGACACAAAGACAGACACACATACACCCAGACACACAGACACAGACAGCGACAGACACACAGACAGACAGTACATGCATACATGTATACATTGAGACAGACTAACATACATCGAATCAGATGCATCATAATGCACGCATAATTTCGAGCAGTTAAGAAACAATAATAAATACACTGTGCAAACAAGTCAGATGTACATATATATACATACACATGTGTATGAATATTTCTATGTCATAAACTAGTGGGTACAAATACAGATTTAACAGTACGATATTTCCAATACCCAGTATACACTAAACGCTTCAACAGACGCTTCAGTGCTTCCATAGATTTTTGTGTTAAAAAAAATTGCGTAATATAAACTCGCTTTAAACTTCTTATTCATCACGCATCAGTGGGCCGCATGTAAACAGGTATGACACACGTTTTTGACATCGGTGATGCTAGGGGCCAAAAGGAGGAAATACAAATTGTACAAACAAAGGGGTGGGTGCTTTAAACCCCTAAATTTATAAAGTTCAAAATTAAGAGGAGTAGGCCTACTGATGAATTTCTAGTCAATTTCATTAGTAAAGTGTCTATAATGTACAATAATAATTTAGTCAGTAATTCAGACAAGTTGGATTCCAACTGTTAGGCCCCTAGTAATACCGCTGAGTCATTGAAGAACAAAACTGCTGTATGGTGCAGTTCAACTAATTGCTTTTGCATACTGTGTCTATTACATTTTTTCAAAAGGTATAGTGTTCATCATACAGGCCATGACACAATTATATCATAAATAGACGAGATAAATGATACCCACCACAGACTGTCTTCTGTGCGTACCTTCACAATAAAATAGCTTGTAAAGCCATTGTGGCGGATTACGACCATCTCGTGTTGTCGTGTTTGAAATGTAATTGAATAATCAATTTCTCCTTAGAGTTTATACAATAATCACTTGTTTGTTTTCCTTCGAGTTCTATCACAGGATCGGTGATATCTTTGAATACTTTAGTGTATTCCTTTACTGGCAATTTCAGAGAAAAAGTTCAGCTAAACAATTTTCCCCCCTTGGTTTTAGAAATCATTTGAACATAAACCATGTTTTATTGCAATTTTATTTGGAGAAGGGTACGATATCGATACATTGCACAAAGCATACAGTCACAGAGTATTATATATAATATAAAAATGATAAACCGAATCATGACAAGTTTTAGATAAAATGTAAATCTCGCTTGACTAACAAATGCCGTGCCAGGTGACTGCATTTATTAGTGTTTGATTCTTTGTGCACACACTAAAACTTGGCTCTTTATTCAGTAACGATACTGCCCTCATTTGTATACAAAAATAACATTTTAACGCTTAAGGTTTACGTCATATATTGAGGCAAGTGTTGTGAATATTATATAAAGTATATATTGACTCGCCGCCTTATAATGAATACTGTGCGTATAAGTCCCTTAAATAATATGCACCAGCAATGGAAGCCTTGAATTATTAATTGAATTATAATTATACTAGGTAGGAGTTACTATGACGTGACAGTGTAGCGCAGAATGACTTGTGTAGAAGTATACCTAACCCAACATCGACCATACCCCTCGCTTTTTTTTTTACTTTCTTTCTTTATGACAAGAATAGTATCATAGGCGATTGCAGTAATCGTTATATATTTAAATGCCATCCAGGGATCTCACTTGGGATCTATGGTTTACTAGTATGGTATACTCTACCAAATATGATGAAGAGAAAAAAGTCAGTAGAAAGCGGCTGGTATGATGACGTATTCAGTAATAAAAACCAGTACTGGTGGCGTAACAAACCTGCAATGATAAGATATTTCCATATTATGAATGCTTACACGGTATCTACCCATAATAGCGTTAAACCGGAGGTGCTTGTTCCTCACCTTCTGGTTGGATGGGTTCTGATTGATCTGTTGCCTGTAAAATTACATCATTTGGTGTATATATAATTGGGTCAATCTCGGGAATTTCCTGTCGACAAGTAAATCAATTTCTTCGTTTTTTCTCGTCCAACATAAGTGAAATATTTGTATATGGGATTCAAAAGTCTTTTTGCAGACTTTATATAGGGGTTATTTTAGCTGAGTGAAGTTGTGCATGTGCACCTTTCGTATTCCTATACTACTCCTAATAACTGTGTCTTTAATATATCATTTCTGAAAATAATAAGTTAGATGAGACAAGTCAAGGAAAGTAACTCTAGCAACGTAATTAAAATCACTGTTAGTACGAAACAGCAGAAAAAACTGATCTTGTGTTTTAAATTTCATCGCCATGATAGGGATCCTTAATAGAGTTGTGGTGCTAGTCTTAGTGTCCGTCTCTGCCAAAATGAAAAAAAAGAGTCTCCGGACAACTTTGGTTAAAATGCTCGCTTAAAAATGTGTATGTGGTTTGTTTATTCATCAAAGACCCCTACCTAAAATACTAATCCTTATTTCTATTCAAACAATGAATAGGATAGCGTCGGGTAATCATTTTTCTTTAATGAAATGTTTTCAATATGTGTCATGAATGATAATATTTATTTTTAACAAATAAATAGTATTATGATAATAATAACTTACAGACTGAATTTTGTTAACCAAAATTGCAAAATAGGAACACCAAATTGCTTTTTTTTTACGGACACCGCGCTTTCGTTCAATAATGTAAACGTTTTGTTTAAATTCAAATATGCTTCGTTGACAACCGTTCCGGAAAATTAGTTAGTTTAGGTTTAATTTTGTTTAGCTACCTATTGACAGCTGAGGTCATTTAAAGACGTGCCTCCATGTGTGAAGTGCATGCGTGCTTGCTTGTGTGTATGCAAGAGACGGGGTATGTAGGTATGCTTGCCTCCTTGTGATAGCGTGGATCTGATGCCGACTTAAGTTTTTGTCGGACCATGCCTCAAAGCATCAAAGCAAATCCCCAATTCTGCAGGGGGGACCCGCATTAGTCGCCTCCTAAGATACATGCAGTGGGTAACAACCGGTGTATTCTTTTCCAAATCCCCCACCTGCAGGGGTGCCGGAAAATGAATGATTTTTTTTATGATATTAACCCTTTCCATCACGGTCCTTAAAACTAAGTTCTTTGAAATATGAGAATGCAAGTAAGTAATGAACAACACATATATCGTTTGAAGCTTCTGGAGTGGACACATCCGGTCGATCGAAAAGATGGTTGCTGCTGGTGGCATTATGGATGACTACCTAATAGAAATGTGAGTAAATCATTTAAAATAATGTAAATACTGAACAATATTTTGACTGCATTTAATATGCATGTCATTTTACTATGCTAATAAATTAAGGATACCTATTTCAAAATGAACTTAAGCGAGTGTTTAAATTGATGAGTGAATATTATCATTGGTGTGTTTGTTGTATGTTACGGAATAGGGATTATTTACATGTTCTTCCCTGATATATTATGCTACTCAGTATCATAATATTTATTTTTCTAAATTTGGTTATTTGATATTAATATTTTATTAAAAATCATTTTAGTAATGCCTTTTAAGAACTGGTCTAATTACGACAATTCTAAAACTATCCAATTAATTTCAGTTCCAAAACTCATGGACCGGTTTTCCGTCTCTGTATGTGGCATCAAGTTGTTGTCTTCGTTTCAGATCCGGAATGCATAAAGGTAAATCTTATTTGATTAATTTTTATATACAAAACAAATCCAATGAAGCATTGCTTAAAATTATATATAGAATAGATGTTCTTTTTCATTTATGAAACCATCATACACCATCTTACACATGTGCATTTTGAACGCATCATCTACAAAAACTAAAAATTATCACAAATTATATCCGAATTTGCTTAGACCAACACTAATCCGGCAAGCTGTGCATCAACCTTGCCTTACGCATGCTCCAAAGCCGCTGCATGTGCTCGTCAATCACCACTACGCGTTGTTCCCCCTTTCTGCTTTGCGTTTGAATTCAATATGTTGAAGCTCAGTGTGAACGGCAAATCATTGACCTGACCCAGATTAAGTTGTCGTCGATAGTCTCAATAATATTGCTTCTGTACTTACTATACAAACACTGTAACCAGTCTAGGTTTAGGGGCAAAGTACATCCCCAAATAGGAAATGTACTATGCTTACAGACATAACAACTGGTTTGCCATAGAAACTACACAACCTTACGCTGTTATACAAACGGTCCATACAGGAATTTGGAATTATGGTCATTATAACATACTTGATATATTTTCTCTTGTTATGCATAAAGTACTTGATATTGTTTAATAAAACATTGTGCTTCTCGTGTTGTAGTTAAATAAGAAACTGGTCTTGTTTTAGGATGTTCTGGTAACTGGAAATCATCCAAAATCGAAGCGGATGTATTCTAGATTGAGCAACATGTTTGGTACAAGGTAAACAATATATATGAGTGTGTTCACGCAGCGTTATTTTCGGTGTTATGTAAAACAAAAAATCATTAATGCAGTATTGATTTATCAGGTCCAAAAATTATAAAAAAATATTCTTGGTATATTCGTGTATGCCGTGGTAATAATATTGAAAACATTTTGATATCAAGTGTACATTAATTATTCACATCTCTATTTCACTGTTCCAGGTTTATTGGCAGGGGAATTGAAACGGAGGTCGATAATAAGATCTGGGTTCTGCAGCGAATACAGCTAGACCAATGGTTCAAACCACAGTAAGATATTTATTCAACACCAAGACAGTTCGAAACACTGACGGTCTGATGTTTACAGATATATATGAATGATGAAAACATTTGAGTTACAATCTCTAGAGGGAAGAATATGAAAACATTTCCTGGTATAGATACTACATAAACCCACTGATTAGAATTTCGATATGGTCTTTCAAACCTAAATCAGCATTCTCACGATTACGGATCAAAGTATGTCGTTGATAAAGCCTACTAGTTTTACAGTACAAAACTACTCTTTATCAACCAATTGGTGGTTGTTTAGTTTGTACATTCAACGTACGTGAATAAAGTTAGATACATAAGCAAAACTATAAGTGTGTAGCATACTTGGTGCCATTGGAGGAACTCTACACTTTGTTTTAAGTCAGTGAATATCTTTAGAATAGAGCAGTGAGAGAAAAAAATATAACAAAACAGCATTCCGTGAAATCCGTCAGACCGAACCGAACACGAAGTTGTCATCTATAAATGGTTTGATGTGAGTTAGGGATGTACTGAACATGAAGTGTCTAACACTACACAATAACTTTATATCCATATTCTAAACGTTAATACAAAACATTTCACATATATTTACATTTTTTTTATATATTTAACATATTTATAATTTCAAGCATGCATAAATAAAACAAACTATTGAATATTGCATCGTTTGACACAATGTGGTACGACAAGACATTTATCCGACATTTACCATGCTTGCTAAACGTTCGCTTAACATAAGTTGATTGAACCAAAGGAGCGTATTATATTTCATTTCCTTACTCAAATGTCATCTTTTGCTTTCATCCAAATTAAACTACACTATCAGGTCCTCACATGTGTTCGGCAACTAATACCATTTTTCGAACGTAAAAATGTTTATCGATTAAGTGCAATTCAATGTGCTTGGAGTGTTATAATTGAAATTGTTTGCTTTTGTTGTTTTCTTAATAGTTAAGTTAACGCAAAGGTGTTACAATGAAGTAACTTAAGAGAGCTTTATTGAAGAACATATATTCATAATGTCAAGATAAAAAAAAATGGGTAAGCATACGATCGGAGAAATTACTGACAGCAATAGGTATACACACATGAGTTATAACAACCATATTTGAGACGCCGTGCTATGCTTTTTTTCATAGATTGAATTCCATTACTTTCCTAAGAAGTCTGCTTGTGGTACAATTCAACATAATATTTTACACAGAATAAGACGATAAGGACATGTATTTTTACATACATTCTTTTCGCAAGTTAACATTTTTCTTTTACAACTTAAACTTAATTTCGAAACAAGGAAGTTTTCATGGCAATTACTTGACAAGTAGACAACTTGTTTGACCTCTTTCAGCTACATTCGACAACTTGCATCTGAATTCAACGAGTTTGCTGATCGCTTCGTAGAGTACCTTGAAACCAAAGCGAACGGCAAGACAGAGATACACATGTTGGATACGTTTAACAAACTGGCGATGCATCTGTTGTATAAGGTTGGTCTGGGAGTAGCGTTTGTTATAATTTGATGTACAATATTGGACGTGATCATGGATTATGTATTGTTTATTTTAAAGACATTCTACTGTAAATTGTTATACAAGTTTGTGTGGGAGACGGGTAAATCATCACCTGCTGTACAAGGTTTGTCTTTGATAATTAAGAAATATTAAGCATTTGCGCGTGTAAGTGCTTTGGTGGCGCAGCGTATAGCGCACTCACCTTTCACCAAAACGGCCGGGGTTTGATAAAAGATATTGGGTCACCTGCCAGACCACGTGGGTTTCACCGTGTACTCCAGTTTCATCCCACATTAAGACCCTCTGCGCGCTTCCATCCGGACCAACAAGAGTGATTAAATAAGTTGGAATAGCTTGTTTTATAATTGTAGTGAAATATATAAAGTTTTTATTATACTGAGCGTGTATTATCATAGTCTATATATAACAAATGTAAAAAATATCATTCACGAAGGCTGTTTAGTCCTGAATTAATTTTTTTCTGCCCTTTTTTTTTTTTTTTAAATGAGAGCGCGTACACATGTAACCTCACTCGGCAGAGTTCATTGCAAGTCGCAATAGGCATTTTGTTTAGATTTACAAAATACGGAAGGCGTTTGGAAGAGCGTTGCTCGTGTATGTTTTTTCTTTTTCTTAAAGTGATACAGGCACGGGCATGCCTGTATTAATGTCCAACATAACATACCTATTAACCAACGAAAAGTGTCATATAAAGTGGACATAACTCATGATGATTTCTTTACTATTGCATAACATTGAAATGTGTTTATATATACAATCATGACGATTATAATGTCTATTTCAAACTCCTAGTTTCGATGTTAGAGAAGAACTCGTTGTTTTTTACATTGTCCTGCCTTCTATTAAAAAGAATGTATACTTTTCTGGCATATTGGTTAAAATTGTAACATAAGTATATTCAAAACGAGAAAGAATAGACGAAACTAAGGATATTCTACGCCTATACGGAAAAGGTTGCAAGAAGCTAGTATTACGCTGTCAATTAAAGGTTTATTTCAAAACTCGCAAATAGTATATATATATATATCTATATATATATCATATTATGTGAATATGGCTGATTTTTTCAGGTAGCATCCAGTATAGACCTGGGACCACTAACGGATGAGAACCATCCCTTTGTAACGAAAATGAAGACAACAATTACAGGATTTGCGACGCTTTTGTCAGACCCTTTGGTAGCTGTACGTATAAAGCCTAAAAACACATATGAAATGCTTATTCTTCCAGTTCTTTGACGTTGGATTGCGTTTTATTTAGTTTTGCATCTAACTCCATTTTTGTCTTTTCGCTTCCTCTTTGAGTTCCCGAATTGTCCTTGTGTGTTTACACTTTGACATGGTATTTTTTCAAACATCGGTATGTTATGTATTTTCCATGCACCTTATCCTGTTGTAGTGCAGTATCCATTATGGTAACGACTTGACTTTTAATAAAATTGATGTAATGGCGGTAAAGGACCTTAAGTACATGTACATCTCAGTGTTATACTTTTATTCTACCATTTAACATGAAAAATGTTGCTATGCTCTTTCAGATAAATCCGTTCAAATGGAGATTTCGCCGGGATGTTCGAGATGCTATTAAATATATCAGGCAAAGCGCCAGACAAATGATGACAGACAGAAATGTAGCGAAACGAAACGGCGATTATGTTCCCCACGATCTGTTGGAGTATATAATGGAACTAAAAGGTACTTCTCCAGTACAACATTTCTTTTAAATCAAATCTATTTAATTGGATAAGATGTACAAAAGGAATGAGCGCAAGCATTGTCTATCGACGTCCTATCGCCGGTGAGGGTTTCTGGTCTTGGCTCGGAATACAAAAGACTGGTCTTTGTTGAAATTTGACATGGTGATACATTGTGATATTTAGATTGCATTACAGGGTTTACAAGATTCTAAGTTCAGGGTCAAGATCACTGTTAATAATTATATACCACATGGCGCGGCCCTTGCTGACCTTTGTAAGTTTATTATAATAAATAACAATGACATGATCGTATAGTTTATTATAATTAAGGACAAAGAGATGAGAATGGTCCTTCTTTAAATACAAATATACTATACTTATTTCACAAACGTCAGCAATTATTGATGCACACAATCAATTGTGTTTTGGTTCCGAAATTTTGCTTAACCTTTGTCGTTTAAATTTGTGCCGGTAGATGGTTTAGTAGTGATATAACAACAACATTAAATTGTTTCCGAGTGAAAATTAGGCAATCATAAAACCTAAAGAAAGAACAGAAAATGTATCAATGTATTGTTACAGAAAAACACCCATCAAAAATGACGGACGAAATATTGTTGGATAATTTTCTGACATTCCTTTTGGCAGGTAAGTATATACAATTATGAACTGTAATGCTAAATCAAATTGATCCAGCCTCAGTCAGCTGTGAGTGGTGAACGTAACACACACACACACACACACACACACGCACACGCACACACCAACCCACACACACACACGCACACAAGTGAATGCACCTTAACAAAACGAGTACATAGAGTGAGCTATGTTTAAAGTAGTTTCAGCTCTGTTGTGATGGTCCGTGTGATTTCATCTCATCTAAACATTTTTTGTCTAGGATGGCTTTTAATTAATGTATATGATAGCTTTTAATTACAAAACATGAATGATTGATTTTTTAATTTAAAAAAAGCGAAGAGTAGTTGACACAATCATGTTTTGCATGTCCCCAACCTTACAGTTCTATTTAATTGTTTATTATATCACACAGGACAGGAAACAACCGCAGCCACCTTAAGTTTTATTATTATCCTTCTCGCAAAGAATCCAGAATGTTACAAAAAGTGAGTTGCAAGATCAGATCACATAATTTTTAATTAAAACATATACAGATATATAGCAAGGCTTCTGTAATAGGCACAGAATAAATTCCATAAGATATTAAATTTAAGGTATATTGCTAAAATAATATCGTTCCAGATTAATTATATTGCCTTTTCGAACTTTTGAATTTGATCAAGCTGTCTTGATAAATAAATGAATGAAAGAGGAATAAATGAACAAACAATGATGATGTTTCTTTGTAAGGCTACAAAAGGAAATTGATGACAACATTGGCGCAGTGTCTGTGGTCACCCTGAATGAGCTTGAGAAGTTACCCTACCTAGATATGGTGCTAAAGGAAACACTCCGGCTTTATCCTGTTGTTAAGGTTTCCTTTAGAGAGACAACCACTGACTACAAGCTTGGCGGTCACCATATCCCGGCCGGAACTGACATGGTAGTGAGTATACCTTTGTATAATTTGATCAAATTCCCATCGACAACAACTTAGATTGCAACCGCAAATACCGCAACCAAAATTGTAACGTTAGCGTATGCGACTGTAATAAATCTCCACGACGGCACCACAAGTTCGTCCTCCCATCACGTTGGGTCAAACAAGACGCATCTGACAACAAAAAAGGATCCCATGGGCTAAGCAGTCGTGGGTGGTGAGCCAGAACCCCATTCTTGCATTTATCTTAATGATGACGTCGTTTCATACGGAATCAGCGTATGGCTGTCGCGCACGCAAACGACTGGAGTTTAAACGGTCATGTCTGGTTTGGCCACTTATTCAACGGTCTGCAGGATTAGCTGAAAAACACTTTGTCTCATAGATAGCTTACCCGTATGTGACGGAGGAGTAGCGCTACGTGTGTTTAAACGGTACCACTGACGATGAATCGTCATTACAAAACAACCATAATGCTGTGCATATTAGCATTTTAACTGATCTAATTGTAGCTATCAAATATTTCTCACTGCCCTCTTTCGGCAGTGTCGGTATTGTACAATATCAATATTATGACAAACCTTTGTGATTTGTTTAGCTAGTAGTTCTATTATGTCTAACAACTGATAGGTTGCATCCCACGTAAATGTACCAATGAGAGTCGTGTAAGACAAATAGGAATATTACAACTTATAACTTCTAAGAATGGTTTGCAGAGTTTTCAAGAAACATATTATCATTTCTTTTTTCCCGTGGGTATGTTACTCGAAAGATTCATAATATTTTAGGTTCATATAAAAGATTTTTTTAGTTCGTGTGTGTAGTTATGAATTATTCTTACAGATAAGTTTCTACGCGACGTCCAGGTCAGAGCAAAATATAAGACAACCCTTGGATTTCTTGCCGGAACGATTCGACAACGACAGTTCAGAGAGGTAAAAAAAATAATGTTTATGTGATTGATGGTTAGTTCAATATTTAATGTCTTTTTTGTCTTACGACACAGGCCGTTTTCGTGGTCATGTAATAAAGATGGATTTATTCTAAGACCACGATCGCAGTCATACTGAAAAGACCAAAATGATTAGTTTAAGCGGTTCTGCAATGGCATCGTGACTGATGTAATATACAGTTATAGAATGGGTATGAGGGAAATAGCACATTTATGGTCCCCCGAGGTGAAAAACTATTTACCGAGGCGGCGAAGCCGTCGAGGGGAATAGTTTTTCCCCAAGAGGGACCATAATTTTGCTATTTCCCGAATTACCCATTCTATAACTGTTTTATTATAACGAAACAAATTATTGACCCAGTAAAGGCAGTTTAACAAATGGATTTATTTATTCATTTCCTTTTACAATTTCAAAGACTGAAAGAGAAAAAAATACAATTGGAAGTACTATATGCATCGTCGTTGATGATAACTTAATTTCTAGCATTCAAGAAGTGTTTTTATAGACTGAATCTCATAGTCATCATTGTTTTCCTACCATATCTAGATCTAGTCCTATCCACTTTTTAAAAAAAAGAGCTTGCATGACCCTACTCGTCGACACTTCCGGCATTCCGTTCTGTTAAATAAGTTTGAAGTGAAATCACTGCAGTCTTTATAACAGCTTTTGTATTTAAGTTACGTTTAGCGTCCAAAATCTGCTGCAACTCCTCTTTACATCAACAAAACGGCCTTCATCGGTGGGCATTTTCACTGTTGTCATTTGGTTCTGAAAATGTGACGTCACGAGCGTCACGGAGAAGGCCCCGCCTACCCATGTTTTCATTGGTTGAAATCTTTTGCAGGGAGGAGTCCTAATTTGGGGAGGGAGTAGCTCTCAGATGGAGATATTTAAGTGATTTATGGGAAAAAGCAGATTTTATCGTATTGTTTTTATATAGGGAAAACTCAGTAGAGGTATAATAAGACGAGTTATTGAACCAGTCGTGAATGTTAATAGTTAAAGCTTATATACGCACGATTGCTAAAAATCGAAGGTTAATGCCCACCTGTACGCAAGACATTTAAAAGTCGCAGGTTAAAAGGGCTGTTATATTTAACATTTGACCGAAGCACTTACCATGACATTTTTAGATAACAGAATAATAATAGAAGCCAAGTCTCAAACCCAGATTTGCATTCACTCAAGGCTTGCCCGATTCTTCGTATCTTACAGCGTTTGGGATGGGAGTTTGAAAAGGACTTCTTTATTCACACGGTAAAAATTTAATTCTGAACGTCTATTCTCCTTTAATCACAATTTTGTAAATAAAATTATCTCTTTGTTTCATCTTTAATATTGATGTTATATATATTTCAGAATAAGCAAATATGCGGTCACACCATTTTCAGCCGGACCCCATACATGCATCGGGAAAAAATATGCAGAGGTATGTATTTTGTTTTCGAAGGGTTCAATTAATTCATTATATAATTTTAAAAGGTAATAGAATGTGTTTAAAACGATAGATATATGTTAATTATATGCAAAAATCACCAACTTTGCTTTTAGCACCATAATCAAACATTATTTTATAAACATTGGATATTTTGTATTGTAATTAATCCCATCGTTCACCCTCGTAACCAATTGTCAGTTCAATCATGATGGTTCAGCGCGGTTTTTGTCCATTAACTAAAATATTGCAAAATCGACACCAACAATCTTCATACCGTCAATTTTCCGGATTTAAACCAAACCAAGTAACGGAAGATTAGCCAAGTTATGTGATATGGAATGGCAAATATGACGATAACACATTACAAATTAAACTGATTTTTACTGTTGTGTGATCGTGCAACGCAGAGTTCGGTTGATCAATGTTACGGAATGAATAATAAAATCCGAGTGAAATAAGGTACTTCTTATAAGTATTTAATATCCGATCGCAATATTTGACACTTGACCTAACCCTTCAGCACATGTAACATATCATTGCAATGTTAAACTGTTGATAATGGGTTTGTACTGTCAGCTACAGAACTGCATGTAATACATTTACGTAGTGAATTCAATGGAATCTCAAAATATAGTTCATCGGTGATTTGACAATAATCAAACATGACTGAAACTTAACTGTGTTCATTGTGTCTATTACGCTTTGTGTTGAAATTTTACACCTCCTTCACGCTTGACTACATAAAATCAAGCAATCAACCCATAAAGCTGACACACATTTAAGCATTGTTCTTTATTAAGGTACACAAACCTGGATAAAAATACTAAAAACGCTAATATAGACGACTGCTGACAAAACTGTATTTAAAACGCAGCAAGATCCAGAACCATCACAAATCTTTTTCAATAAGTTTCATCAGTTTGGAAATATGTTATATCAAACGTATTGCAACGTTTGGAGGCCACTTTGTCCCTTTGTCAAGCTACATATGTATTACTGAGCGAGCGATTTGTACTGTTTATCTGTACAACGAAATGACAGAACTGCGTATTTCATATGTCACTCGACATACCATACCATTCTTTGACACGCTCAGCGTTCGAAAAGAAAACGGCACGATCAAAATATAAGTATTCCGCAAACCGACAAACACCAATCATTATTTGGCTTTCAATTCGTACCATCAACATTTGTACACCAAATCTCGGTATCGTACGTACATTCCTTGAAAAATACAACAACATCATCACAGAGTAAGACGATAGACACAGAGGGGGACAAAGCACAGAAAAAAGACGCTCTCAACCGTTGTGACTACCCTGATTGATCAAACAATAAAGTGGAAAAAAGCAGTAAAAGAGGAAAAAAACACAACATGTAAAACCAGAGATAGAAGGAAAGAGACAACAGTAACCGAAATGCAGAAGCTAAGTCACAATGTATAACAATACCCTACGTGAAAGGAAAATCTAAGGCGTTTGCCTGGGTGATGAGGAAACACCATTCCAACACCCCGATGAGACCATTGACAACACTTAGACAGTTACTTGTGCATCTCAAAGACAAGATTGACATTCTAGACAAAACAGGAATTGTATACGAAGTTCCGTGCAAAATTGTCAGCAGTCATACAGGAGAAACTTGGAGGAAATTTGGTACACATTTAAAAGAACATCAAAAGGACGTAGAAAAAATGATCAACACCCATTTAACCAGAAGCACAGGCAAACCATCCGCCGCCAAGTATAATAAAACGGCATTATAGATTATGCTGACACCAAAAATCACATTTCGCGATCGTTTATTTAGACAATATCACAATAATTAAAATGGAACAACATAAAATACTGCAACAAATCAAACAAGCTATCAAAATCTGAAAAACTCAAAACATGAACAGGGACAAGGTGGACACCATCTGAGTCATCTGTATGACCCGATACTGACCCGACGGGATGGATCCTATATCCACAACCTGTCATTAACACTGTACACTCTCTATCGATATGCGAAACGTCCCGGGTCGTGTGACATATAAAATATACAATTTTGCTTGTAGTAATAGCTTTACAAAAAGACCAGTCGGTCTTGAAATGTTGCGACACGTTTGGTACATACATTAACCGTAATACGCACGGTGTTTGTTAATATCCCTTCTTGCAAACATCATAAAAATGTTTACTGCTGGATTAGTATTTTGAAAATAAATGAATACCTTTCTGGTTAGATGTTTTTGAACGATATTATTTAGAATGACCAATTTCAAAATTTACATCGATACAATTAATTGTTTCATTCCTTTACTCAACAGATGGAGATGAAAATCATCATTGCCAAGATCATGCAGAATTTCGACTTCGAACTGATTCCCGGACAAACTAGTGAGGTACAAGGCAACGTATTTATACAACCGAAAAGTGAAGTCAAGTGTTTCCTCCGGCCGCGGAAAACGGTATCAGCGTGATGAGCAAAACCTTTGATAACTCTCATGTGTCTAAATGCATCGCTAACTGGTTGCAGACACGCAAAGACACACTTCCAGTATCATTTTTAATGATATTTGGTTATATCAAAAGCGAGAACAAAATCCAATATCTCAATTAAAACAAAACACACACATGCTTGTTTTCTAACATGTGTTCTAGATTAATGGAGATAAGAAATAAACGGACAAACAACCACTGAAACGGTTATGTCATGGCCCAGACAGTAATTTATGTTTTGGGTCCGCATTTGCTTTGGCAAGGTGAATACATCTGAAACAAGGAGCAGTTGTAAAACACATCATAGACTTAAGAACAGCCCGTCTGTCTGAATAGAACAGTTATAATCATTGTTGTTATTATGTTATCATGAATTGTAAATGTATTGTTTTTATTAATACCCCCAAAGGAAAAAAGATCTATTAATTGTTGATCTTTAACTTATTTAATGACAACTAAAACATTTTATTTTGATATATAACTAGTGAATGTCGCATGAAGGCAGTTTATGAAGGATATAAAGATAACGAATGACAGCAGCCTCGATAACACTTGTGAACGACTGAATAAGGCCTTGGATCACACGTAGCTATTAACAAATTGGCCTTGGATCACACGTAGCTATTAACAAATTGGCCTTGGGTCACACGTAACTATTAACAAATTGGCCTTGGATCACACGTAACTATTAACAAATTGGCCTTGCATCACACGTAACTATTAACAAATTGGCCTTGGGTCACACGTAACTTTTAACAAATTGGCATTGGATCACACGTTACTATCAACAAGTTGGCCTTGGATCATACGTAACTATTAATAAATTGGCCTTGGATAACACATAACTATCAACAAATTGCCCTCTGATCACACGTAACTAATAACAAATTGGCATTTGATCACACGTTACTAGTAAGAAATTGACCTTGGATCGAACGTTACTATTACCAAATTGGCATTGGATCACGCGTCATTCTTACCAAATTGGGCCTTGGGTCACACGTAACTATTAACAAATTAGCCTTGGATCACACGTCACTATTAACAAATTGGACTTGTATCACATGTAACTACTTACTAATTGGCATTGGATCACACATCACTATTTACTAATTGGCCTTGGATCACACGTCACTAGTTACTAATTGGACTTGTACCACACGTCACTATTTACTAATTTGCCTTGGATCACACGTCACTATTTACTAATTGGCCTTGGATCACAAGTAATGATTAATAAATTCGCCTTGGATCACACATAACTATTAACAAACTGGCCTTAGATCACACGTAACTATTAACAAACTGGCCTTGAATCACACGTCACTATTAACAAATTGGCCTTGGATCACACGTCACTAGTTACTAATTGGCCTTGGATCACACGTCACTATTTACTAATTGGCCTTGGATCACACGTCACTATTTACTAATTGGCCTTGGATAACACGTAACTAATAACAAATAAGCCTTGGCTCACACGTCACTATTAACAAATTGGCCTAGATCAAACTTACCTCTAATTACGGCCAAATGTATATCTGTTAACGGATGTGAGGTAAATAAATGTTTGTTGAGTGCATATTGGAATTGGAATTGGTAGTGGTAATTGTGATGAACACGTAGTTTAAACGTGTTCTCTTGAAATTGAGATCTTTTTCACGTGCTGTAGTGATGTGTATTAGAACTCCACATTAATGAACAGGAGTTGGATTAGTTTGTGGGGCGTTATCAAAGATTGCTATTTAACGAACTACTGGCACACAAACTCACCGCACGTGTGTCAAGCCATGGAGATGTTACGGAATACCAGTAGTAATGTATAATTGCATACTTCCAAGAAAATGTACTTACCAAATTGATTCCATATATCAAAGCATGTATTTGTTACTGTACACATAGTATGCTCTAGAAGAAAGGGCAAGTGAAAATAATAAAATATTTATCATATGATCTATTTAGATTTTTGTTTCTTTTACTTGTATTACAAAATTTGAAAATCAATTATCACACATTTTGAACATCGTTTTATTATTATAGTTTTCAATCAACTCTATGTAAATTAGTAATTGCCTGATTGATTAAAAATCAGTTTAATGTACTTAAATGTCATAAGTGTCTTATCTTATACGGGATGTTTCCCTTATGTGAAATTTGATGTTTGTCTAATGTTTAGAAGTAATATTGTAAATAAGCTAAATCGGACAGAAGTACTTTATTATGTAAACGACAGGTGGACCGATGTAAGACAAACATTTGTTGTCCCCTCAGATGTGTAGCATTGGGGTAAAAGTGGTAAAATTGTTACAAAAAAAGGATGCAGGTTTACCGAACTACTCGTCGAGTTGATTTAGCTCTTTCATGTCCAGGGGGTGTAGGATAGGGAAATTCCATCCTTGGGGTTTTCAAAATGGTGCAAAACTCTAGGCAAAGCCTCGGGATTTTCCCAATTTGAAAATCTCCTTATTTCGTCACTGTTCTCCTATTGTGACATCACGTACGTAAATTTGGGTGTATGATAAAAAAAAAATCCCTTTCTTACCTCGGACTGTTGTCATATACGGACATTCTCTCACATTTTCTTTGCTCCTTCAACTTTTCACAAACATTTATGGATATCAAGCAGTCATGAAATGATATTTCTAGTAAAAGCAATACTGCAAACCAACATACTACTTTCCTAATAACATCACCTTTAGCATTTTTGGTTATTCACCACATTTGAATCTTGTGGCCTTGAAAGAAGTTCAAGACCATGTTGAAGCTTTAAAGCACTCCCAACATGCTACTTTTTGGTTATTCAAAAGAAGACATTTTTTTTCACACCTTTGACTCCAGTTTCCTTGAACTTTGGTCAACGTCATTATTTGAAGATATTTCAAAACAATCCATCCCAGGTATCTAATGGCTAAATATTACCGTGCGACCCTTTTGTATTCAGAACAAGTAGTTTTTTTGTTTTGTTTTTTAATATACGACCTATGTGGCCTTGAAAGTAGGTCAAGGTAATGCATTTGAGGAAACTTTACAGCACTTTATCCAAGGTACCTACTTGCCAAATATCATAACCCCGAGTCTTTTTATTAATCAGAAATTCAAAATTCAACAAGCACAACTACAGACCATGGCAAATCTAAGATTCCTCGAGTGCGTTTTGAGAAACAACACAGACATGGATTGTTTAAGGACGGACAATGGACTGTAGATGAACGGTAATTTGAACAGCACACAACTTGTTCGTGTTGGGCTAAAAGCTGTACAATAAGTAATACCCCCCCCCCCCCCCCCCTCCCCCCTTAAAAGTGGAAGACACAAAGGTCACCAATAAACATACTCATCTGCGGTGGTGGTGGGAGGCCCTCACCATCCACTTCCTTCCACCGTCCATCAGTATAATGAATTAAGCGGAAGACATAGTCTAACAGATATAGGAATTTTTCATACCTTTCCAGAGATTCGGCAAATGTTTCTTCAGAAATTTCAGGATATACTTTAGAGCGTCTTACTTCATCTTTTGGGGCTGCAAGTGGATTGCCTTCCAAGCAAAGTTCAGAAGATGATACTGAAGGCACGGTTTCAGCATCATAGTAGATGATGTCATCATTCAGGCAAGGCTCAAGCTTGCCTCGAAGCTCAGTTGGCAATATCACAAGATCATCTGCATTGAACTGCTTTGTTTCTATATCTGTCTCAATATACCTCACTAAGGAGGCATCACAATGGTAATCACTACTGTAAACTTGCCAATCTTCACCCTCATTAGAGTCTCCACTTGTCTACAAAAGAAATCAGAGTGTTTTACACACGTTTTAGATTATGCCAACATAGACAAGTAATTTTGAATCCACATTGATATAGTGATGGGCAATCCGATTAAAATCATCATCGATAATCAGTCTGTAATCAGGTTTGGTTTGGTTGGTTTAGTATTGTTTAACGTCCTATCAACAGATATGGTCATTTAAGGATGGGCTTCCCTGTGTTCAAGATGCATGCGTGAAGTGTATGCGTGTGTGTTTTGGGAGGCTGCGATAAGTTCGTGTTTGTCTCCTTGTGATAGCACGGAACTGATGCTTTATAGAGCTACCTCACTAAAACATACTGCCGAAGACACCCAGCAGAACACCCCGTCCAGTCACATTATACTGACAACGGGCGAACCAGTCGTCCCACTCCTAAATTGCTGAGCGTTAAGCAGGAGTAGAAACTACCATTTTTACAGTCTGGTTTGTCTCGGCCAGGGGACAGAACCCAAAGTCTTCCTCACAGGGAGACATTAGGAGGAAGAAAGTTGCTTAGAAAGAAGAAAAAAGATAAGATCTCAAATCTAGTCGCCTCTTATGACCATGCAATGGGAGCAGCAGGTACAATTATTACGCTCTACCTACCTGCAGGGCAAGTCTGTAATCAGAAGTAGTGTACTAATTTTAAATTGATAATCAATAATCAATTTATAATTTTTGGAACTACATACCCAAATAAATATAAAGGGGGGGGGNGGGGGGGGGGGGGACTTAATCACAACATGCTCAAGCGTTACCAATAAGAGGGTTTTTGAAGGGTTTTATTTCGACCTGCAGATCCTGTGTGTTCGGAGTGCATGATCCGTCGGTACGGAGCAAACCACTGACCATACCATGTAAAATTGTAATGAACTCCAAAGATTGCGAATAAGGTCTGCAGAAAAACGCTGTCATGTCAGATATCGATCCTGTAAGACACAACATATATAATAGCGGATCCAGTAGGATTGGAACATCCCCAAGAAAAAAAAAACACATACACTTTATCAATTTATTTCCCTCGGGCCAGAAACCTAAACACACCAGTTGTTTTACTGATCATCTACATGAATTTTGCCTCTATATATCTGCACTCTTTTAATATATATCATAATGTAGCAACGAATAAGAAAAACATGTAGTTTTAGGTGCATGTAACTCATAGCTCCTACCTCCCCTATCTCGTAAACAAGATACTAGATGCGACTCTTAGATATTCGCATGTAGACGTGTCTTTCAGATTCACAGAAAAAATGTGATCAGCTGTCATGAAGAATATTTGTCTTAATATTGTCTCTCTTTCAAATATATACCATTTACAAAAATATGATATGTAGAAAAGGATTCAGAAACGAGTGTACAACAACTATACTTAACGTGTTGCAACAAAACTTTTCCGTATATTTTACATTGTTTTGTGGACGTATATGTGATGCTAGTTTATTGTTCTGGCCCTCAAACATGGAGGAGCTGATCCGGAGGTGTAACCAGTCCATATATAGTTGACTCCCAGAAGGCACACACTAAATATGATGCGGTACAAGAGGAGATACAAGGGGCCAGGTCCAGTGTCATTGGGGGAATATCCCGCCTACAGCGACCCTCCAGACGATGGAGACGTGCACGGGTGACTGTATATACCAAGAAACAAAAGCGTTTGACCCCTGTGACCTTGAATACGGACAAAGGTAATTCATTTGAACAAACTTGGTAGCCCTTCATGCCAACATCTTTCTGGCCATATATCATCACCCTGGACCTTTTGGTTATACAGAAGAAGTCGTTAAAAGGTTTTTAAGACAATTGACTCATGTGACCTTGAATGTGGACGAAGGTCATTCATTTGAACAAACTTGGTAGCCCTTCATGCCAACATCTTTCTGGCCATATATCATCACCCTAGACCTTTTGGTTATACAGAAGAAGTCGTTAAAAGGTTTTCAAGACAATTGACCCCTGTGACCTTGACTATAAGTGAAGGTCATTTGTTTGAACAAACTTGGTAGCCCTTCATGCCAATATCCTTCTGGCCATATATTATCACCCTCGACCTTTTGGTTAATATAGAAGAAGTCATTTGAAGGTTTTTAAGACAATTGACCCATGTGACCTTGAATATGGACAAAGGTCATTCATTTGAACGAACTTGATAGCCCTTCATCCCAGCATGCTAATGACCAAATATCATCACACTGGACCTTTTGGTTTTAAAGAAGTTGTTTAAAGAGTTCAACATATTTGACCCCCGTGACCTTGAATATGGGTGAAGGTAATTAATTTGAACAAACTTGATAGCCTTTTATCCAAGCATGCTACTGGCCAAATATCAACACCCTAGACCTCTTGGTTATTTAGAAGAAATAGTTTAAAGGTTTAGACATTTGACCCCCCAGTGACCTTTAATATGGATGAAGGTCATTTATTTGAATAAACTTGCTAGTGCTTCATCCTAGCATAATATTGGCCAAATATCATCATCCTGGACCTTCTGGTTATTCAGAAGAAGTTATTCAAAGAATTTAACATATTTGATCCATGTGACCTTGAAAATGGGCAAAGGCCTTCATTTGAACAAACTTGGTAGCCCTTCATCCCAGCATGCTACTGGCCAAATATCATCATCCAAAGCCATTTGGTTGCTGAAAAGAAGTTGTTTCAAGTAAAAAGTTGATGCTGGACGGACGACGGACGCCGCACCATGTCATAAGCTCACTTGGCCCTTTGGCGAGCTAAAAACATTATGGAACAATTTGCACTCTTCTTTGTTCGAGATAAATTCAGAGCACTGTAACTCTCTACCTTAAACTAGCTGGAGATCATTCAAAATTTTAGTAATGAAAGTAGGCAAGACATTTTCGTTAGTGACTATTACTTCTCCCTAGAACATGAATTGCATGTACGATAGTAAAAAGTCTATATGTGTACACTGGTCCTTGTTCTTTTGTCACTTTAGTTATGCTATTACTTTTCAATGCCCATTTTTTGTGTTTTTCTTTAGTTATCGATACACTTTTTCATATATCTCCCTCATCCTTTATAATGACAAAATTCCGCTGGACAAATATTGACAGTATAACAAGGTTTTAGTGTATACCAAGCCACATGCAAGTTGACAAAAGATTTATAAACTATAACGATATATATTACCACGGAATTAGGTTATCTAAGTCCGTGATATTACCAAATATTTTTTTTATCAGAATCATTTGTTCTAATCCATGTAGCAACATAAGTGTATAGATACATACATTGCCATGCCAATGCAACGAGTGAAACCAAGACTAAAAGAAAAATAAGATATTTAAATATTTCTTTATTAATGACAGATTTGAAAATGAATCTCAACCACGTTTTATAAATGTTTTGTTTTAAATATCATAACCAAGCCTTTCTCAGCTTGAGCATATCATAAATAAGCATCGACTTCATCTGTATTTAAATGTGAAAACAAGTCATGTCCAACGCCAGTGACCCACACGACACATTTCAGCACTTTCAAATCTGACACTCTTCTTCCTCATACATGCTTACATGTAGACTGAAAATGGCAGTCTCCATCGTGACCATTTCATATAAAACATTCACATTAATTAAGCTGACATCTCAAAAAAAAAAAAAATGACTGAGTTTTAAAGACTGAAGCAGGTCCTTTCCTATGACAGAGAAACACCACCAAGCTTGATGGGATAGGTTCACAAGGTTTATCAGCTCGTCATTAAAAGGCTCAACTAACTTAGTTAGACCTACACATTTGAAACATGATATAAACAAGTCATCTACCAAAAATGAGAACCTCAGATTTGAGTAAAGCTTCCACTGGTAATGTTTTGCTGTTTTGACTTTGATAAAACAGAAGGTTATAACGAGCTTTGTGAAGCAGGAATATCGATGTTTCGATTGATATCAAAGATTTCAATCAAATGCTTTCAGTATTCCTGTATCACTGCCAAAGACTGTAATTAAGTATCGGAAACTATTTTTTTTCGGTATGACTTAAGCTTTGATAAACCAATTCTGGAAAGTACAACATATCTTGGTGGACTTTTATGAAATATTAAAGATGAAATAAACCAAATGTAATTAACAATAGTGTTTTGATTGTAAAATTGAGAAGTACATGACTTGGATTCAAACCCTGAACTTCATATTGTTTATCACTCAAAATGACTGAGCTACTTGGACATCAAAAGTATACAGGCCCAATTCTGCTATAGTTATATCCAAACCAAGTTAAGGGGAGATAACTGTGTATAGAAAAAAACATGGTACCGTGGGACAGGGACCCTTAACCCTTTCACCACTGTAGACAAGAATGGACTCATCCAGATAAATGTATGGTAGAGTCTACTAAAGTTACCTAGGGTTGAAAGGGCTAAATGCGCTGACTCCAAGGAATGCATATTTTCTCCTATTTTGACAGAAAAGCCCTTTCAGTCTCTAAAAAAAGCCAAAATAAAAGTGGAAAAACAAAAATAATATGTAAACTTTATAACAACATGAATGTTTTACACCAACATAATACTCGGTAATATCCATTTTCAGTTCCTACAAAAGATGTCATGAGATCAGTTCAGCAATTCGTTACATGGACCCGAAATTCAAAGAGTTTTCCCCCCAAAATTGAGATTCATTTCATTTATAATATGTGCGAGGCATGAAGGCAACGAGAAAAAAGTCACAGACTAGCTTGCCGACTAAATGCAATTATAATTGGACATTTATCAACTCTTCACGTAATATGTAATTACACCATACATGTACAAACTTCAGCACGGTACCCTACACGATGAATCGAAAATGAAATTAAACACTGCTAAATATTGTGTACATAAACTGAGTGCAAGTATGAATTGCAAGTGTTGGATAGTATTTACTTTGTAGATGAATTCAAAACAAGTTATAAATAATGTGGATAACTGGAACAGTTATAAATATATATATCGTTCATACATCCCATGTTGCTAAAGGATAAAACTCATATTTAAAATTTAAAAAATTAAAATATCAACATAATTTTTAAGTCTCTTAAACTTACAGAATATTCAACATGTCATACTGACAGGGATTGGGCTTGACAAAGAAAATGTGCTCCACATGAAAACATACGAACTTACCATAACACACAGCAGATATTTCAAATCAAAAGCGATTCAATCAACAGTTGCAAACAATATTTCACAATCATATAATTTAAAACACTAGTAGTATTTTTTTTCAAAATTCAATTTAAAGAAATTAAAGTAAAATATTACAGCAGCATTTTCTAAAAATTCAAAAAGACTCTTTAAGCCATATTGATCAACACCTTGATAAAAAATTTACCAAGCCCTACAAAGTAAGTAATATACTATACAGAGAGGTTTAGCCCAGTGTCGGCTCAATCGAGAAAGTATAAAACTTCCCTTGAGAGGACCCAAGTCTCTCCCTCAGTTACTTCCGAAATGTTTGTATTCATTAGTACTGCTGGGCAGACTGGACCAAATAATTTATTCTTGCTGTGAATATCAGTTTTAAAATGAAATGGGACATTTAAAATGGATACATTAACAAATGAAATTTAATATCTTAACAATATCTTAACAAAGGAAGTACCGGGTATCATAAAAATTATCCCATAAATATCTTACTAACAAACAAAAAATAAGAACAAATAAAAATATGACTTCTGTTTTGTCCCAATTAAAAGGCAAACCATCAACAGAAATTGTTTGCAAATCTTGTTTCAGAGAAAACAATATCTGTAGATACAGTAAAAGCAGCAAGTTACAGCAAAGAAACAAAATTTAAATTCTATGGTCCCTGAAACTAAACACAAGCTCCTATAAAATTTACCAATGATGTATGAAAATAAAAACTACCACTTGGATAATAAGTTTGAAGCCAAGTCTGCATCTACCACAACACTACTGATCAGTTCACATGTTACAGTATTAAATATCACACACAAAGCACATGACATTTTCAGTCAATGGATTTTAGCTTGATATACTAGGTAAAATATTACAGACTTTTTATTATAAACAATAGGTTTTTTTAACTGAAGATAGACGTAGATAATATTCTCTAAATTTCTTCCTTTTTTCTCATCTATATATTTCAGTATATATTAAATTTTGTCAATCATGTGACAAAACGCATATATATTTTATTGGCCTAGTGTCCAGAAGAAAATTCTGTACATGAAATGTACATGTACCATCATGCCAACCCAGAAATCTTTCAATATTTGAATTATTGCACCATTCGGTAAACCAATTTTATTTGAATAGTTTGAATAGAATACACTCTCTCTAGTGTTACCCATTAGGTATACATTGTACCTTAACAAAAGTTTGAAATGTCAATACTGTACATGGATTGACTATTGATATTTTCAAATACAAATGGCATAGGGAAAAAACCTTAGAATTAATTCATATACTGTAAGATTGACCTTGCTGATAAACACAGTATCAGAATAGTGTGTTATGATTCATCGCCATCTGAATATAAAAAAATAAATTAAGATTTTTAAACACAAAAATTGTTAACTTGTACATAAATATTTATATATTTCATAAAAATTATCTATCAGACAGATTTGTGTAGAAGATAACGGTACACGGTGCAAAATTTTAGCACACTAAAAAGACATTATCAAATATCCATTCCTGTTTTCTTGCAAAGCGACATGTTCCCAAAATTTCAATTTGTAATCAAGACGATACTTTGTCTTGGTACCCACCCTCTTAAACAAATCCACAGGCGTGATGAGAATGTCTCTACAATATTAAAAGCTTCATCCTCAATAAAATAATACTAATATCAAAGAGTGAGTCACAGAAAAATGGAGATGCCATGTTTTTGTAATTAGAAATCCCCCGGCAGTGCCATTTTTGTGAATCTACATCACAAGTGCTTTCCGCAAACACTGGCATCCAGACACGCGGTATGCAAAAATAGTAGCAAGTACACCTATTGACACACAACAACACACACAAATAGACATGCTACCTATATGGCGTTCATTAAAAAAAGTTGCATTGTTATAAAAGAAGAGACTGAAAATTCAAGGCATGGTTATAGATCAGGCCATGTCTCTCTTCGGCTTTCCCTCTTCTTAATTTTCCTATGGAAATTGTAAAAATTCAGCAGCCTTGACAATACCTTTGACAAATAAATTCTGGATATCCGGTACAGTGTCTGTGCCGATGATCAATTCTTGCCTTTTGATTGATACAGTACAAGAATTTCAGTTCAATATCATGATTATATTTTCATGCTACAGAAAACACAACATTTCTTCGAAGTCATTCAATTTTCTGTTTTGGTTAAATGTCACTTCAATAAATTTCCAATCGAATTCTACGACGGAATGATATTCCTGCTTTGTAGCATGAAGATTCTAGGATGTTCTTCAATGTTGCTGAATTCTAGTTTTCCAGTCGGACTTGTCTCTGATGTAAATTCATTCCTCTTCCTGACATTGGTCCTGATTGTCTCCCAATCTGACGACACACACCATGATTACAGGAAACCATGGTAACACAACAGTCACATGATGTATGCATAGCACCATGGCAACCGGACACCATTGCCATGTGACACCAACACACTACTTGAGCAATTCTTTCATGTCCGACATGGCCTCCAAAATAGCATCAGCCATTTTGTCTGCTGAAGTTGTCTGGCAGTACTTGCAGTTAGTTACATGGAAATTGACTGAAACAAGAAGAACAAAAGCATTTGATTATTTTATTATGCTTCAGGTAAATTGCTGAAAGAGAAAAATCTTTCATTTTAAACTGTATACTGTGAAATCAGTAAATTTCATGGGGCCCAAATTTCATGATTTACCGTAAAAAAACCAGCGTTTAATTTGTGGGTACATGAATTTGTGGGTACATGAATTTGTGGATTACAAGTACCAACTCCAACGGAGAAAAGTTTTAAGTCCAACTTGTAATTTCGTCGTGGACCTATGAATTAGCAGATGAAGATTACCCATGAAACCAACGAAATTAAAAACCCACAAAAATCAGTGATTTTTCAGTATACAGTTGATCATTGTTAATCCAGGCATCACTGTACCGTCTATTACAGTTTCAGGAGACAGCATTAATGTCTATACAAAAGTGTCCAATTGAGCCAGCTATTTCCCAGTGTAGCACCTTTACTGGGAAAGAATTCAAAGGAGGCTTGATATTTGTATCACCTTTACTGGGAAAGAATTCAAAGGAGGCTTGATATTTGTATCACCTTTACTGGGAAAGAATTCAAAGGAGGCTTGATATTTGACAGAGAACATAGGTGGCTATATTATCGAGACACCTGCTGTTTAAAAATTCCCAATGTTCTGAAGGTTTTGTTACGGTCTTATGACTTTGATACGAGACAGCTGGACAGTATCTGTAGCTTGTCTTGTCTCTGTGAATTCACAATTGCAATGACATTCATTCCTTCGGATAAGGTACACAATGATAAGTATTTGTAAAATTAAATTGCAGTCGGAGCAGAAATCAACTTTTTGACTATAACGAGACCACCTGCCATAAAAGAACACTTAATGGATTTCCTGAAAATGGTATCGGAATATAAACTACAACTAGCATAATTCACTGACAAACTTCAAAACCACAGTTCAGCTTTGAGCTGGATACGTACTCAAGTCTTCCCCGTAGATCATGTAGGATATACCGTAGCCATCTTGTGAAGACGGGGAAAAGCCTCCGCCCATACAGCAGGTCTCAAGTGTCCACTGGTCGGTGTAGCGGGTCGGAGTCTGTGATGTACTTAGTTTGTCCTGCATCCAAAAGCTCTGTAACATAACAGCATCAGATATTTAAGATAAATTCTACTTTTATAAAATCAACATACAGTGTATATATACTTTTAATAAAATATTTCCAAATCTTCATTCCTTAAAAGAATATATTAATTACAACTTAATGCAATATGAACTAGAATAAAGCCATACAGCCTTCGTTTTTTTCAATTCCTGATTCAATTTGGTGCAACTCCCCTACTCCCGATATATTTAACTTTCTCTCCTCCTGTCTTACATGACAGTTGACATAAATGTCTTTCCTCTACACACAGGTAGAGAAGTATAAGACTCTTTCATGCCAAGAGCTGTAGCACCAAAATAGGGAAAATCCACCCCAGGGTTTTCATATTGGGGTGAAACCCAAGGCTTGCCAAAGGTTTGCACAAGTTTTAAAATCCCGTCACCCCTGTATCTGAGAAAGTAATTGTTCTCTCATTCCCGTCACCAGTATAAGCTCAGGAACCACAAAAAAGGTGTTGCATTTTTCTGCATCGCAGTACCTGAATGTTTCCAATTTCATGATATCAGGTCATTGTGATGTCATGCACATGAAATGGGATGCAAGACAGATTGTATTGTGGTTAACTAAAAATTCTTCATCTTTACCTTATCTTGGAACAGAGCTGGGGTCGGTATCTTGAGTTCCTGTGAGGCGGCGAACAGTCCGATCAGATGTCTGTCAAAGCCTTGACCTATGCTGGCGTCGACCTTGACCTGTGTCTGGTATTGCACGGCTCGCTTGAGTAACATGATTCTCTGTTCACGCGTTGCTCGCTCATTCATCATGCTGCTTACCCACTGCTTCGAGTATTCCGAGACCGGACGGATTGTCTCAGTTCTACCAGCCAGAAACATCCTGCAACAAAAAATGGATAACATCAATTATTGCAGGATAGATGCTGGACTCATGTATTGGGTTAATATGTTGATTGGTGTTTCTGTACAATGATAAGGGGGGGGGGGGGTATTGCAGTTGGGTATGAGAACAATGAAGAATTAGCGCCCTGTAAGTGACGTACCTCGTTGATGCAGATTCGTAGGTTTTGGGAACTTGGTTATAGAGTTTGTAATAGGCCAACTGGAGAGCCATCTACAACAAAAAGACATCACATAAGTGTTTGGTCAATCACGGCAACTCTACAGTCCAATAATAAGACTCAGATACAGGGGATTCATATTTATTTTTTTACTCATTAGTATGAATATTGCTCATCAATGTGAAGAAATAAAACTGTACAAATAATATCATTTAAATAAAACATTAGGAGAAGTGTTTCAAATAAAACTGTCCATTCGGTTTTACTGATGTAGATCACTTGTATCCCCCAATAACTTTTCCATAACCATGACAAATTGAAAGTAAATTTTCATCCATTAAATTGATTCTAATGAGAATATTCTTTCTATGTCAATAGTAAAATTGATACTGTACATGAGCACCGAAACTTCTTAACATTCTCAACAGAAATAACGGAGACATGCCTGGATGTATCCGTCGGGACTCATCCTCTTTTTCTTGATGTATCCTTTTCCGTATTCAGGGGTGACAACTCTCAGACAGAATCCACCAGCCTAGTCGGAAAAAAAATATACAAGTTCATAGAAACTCACAAAAGATTTTCAGAAGATTTTATGAAACGAGCTTTAGATCAAATGGGAATAAATTTGGCTATTTTTATTGTATGCTCAACAGAAGCACGCCGATTACATACTTCTTTGAAGCCAGGTAGTATAAGGGGAAAATATTTGATTTTTTTTTTTTGATTTATTGCAACAATTGACCTTCAAAAACAGGGCTTTTTAAATTTTGATTTGTTTGATTGTGTAAAAAAAAATATATTTGAACATGAAAGATCCATATAACTTATAAATTATGAATGATTCTTCATTTTAAAAAAGTCAGTATTTTAATATTGAAATTGGAACTTCCCTAGGAGTCCCGGTCACATTTTTTCAATTAATTTATTTACCAGCTTTCTGTAATGGTCGTACGCTTCTTCCAGATCCTCTTCAAACCCAGTCATATCCCATGTCAATCTGCAAGTTCAGAAAACTAAATGTTAAAAGTATCCAACACTGACCTCCACTGTCCTTACTAGTTAGTACACGAGCACACAATTTGTCTGCTCTTGCAATTTTTCTAGAAACACCAGGAAGTATTTAATTGTGAAAAATTCTATCAAGTTCCAAGGAAAATGGATGGAAAGTACATACAGGGCGATAACTCATCAAATAGATCAGATACCAAGGCACAATTAACCGTTTCACCCTTGTAGACCATATTGGACTCATCTGTATCAATGCATGGTAGAGTCTACTCAAGTGACATACAAGGTAGAGTTGAAAGGGTTAAAAAAACATGGAAATATATCCTAGGAAGTGTCAGGGAAGACAACGTAAGTTAATAATTTTCTAGAAACTCTTCTATATTTGGATATCAGCATTTTTTTTTTTTTTTTTTGTTTATAGTTTATAGTTATCATATAAATGCTCAATTTTTCAAAAATACTTTTCTTCATGATTTTTCATCCAAATAACATGTAATTCAGATAAAAAATCAAATACCTGATGTCAAACCAGAAACTTGACTTCTAACTGGGGTATAAATTAGGGTTGGAATGGTAGAAGCAAAGCACAAGACTGAAGAAAATTAAAACTATCTCACCTTTCTGCGGAAGGAATTTTCTTCTTACGAGACCTCTCAGCGATGATTTTGCCATCCTTTGTGTATTTCTCATTCTGTAGGTAATATTCCCACATTCTGCCTGGTAGCTGTAAATTTCAGGGCATAAAATAAGCATTCACGTTTGTATGTAACATTGTGCAATAAAACATCAGTTTAACAACTCTTCCTTAACATTATGTACACAAATTATTTTGCTATTTTTGTTTACGGAAGTCAATTAAGTTAACAGAATATGGTGAAGATAATTTGATTTGTCAAAGAAACTTTTTATTAATTTACTGAAGACATAAATGCAATTCACTACAATTAGGAAATATACAGCCAAAGGATTGAAAAGTCAAAACCTGTGCATGACTTGCAATTCATTACTTCGCTAATAGTGAACAAGCTTAAATCATGAATTAAAAAGTTTTCTTTTAAAATAGGTTTCCAAGATAATGTTTTTTTATATGTACACTTTTTCTGAATACATGTGGGTTGAAATAAAGAACATATATATCATATGTCAGTAATGAATAAGGTGGCTAATTGTTAAAACACCAAATACTGCCTAAACTTTTAGTGACTAAGAGTATTTTTTATAAAACAAATAGGACAACACTTATATTTTGTATAAATTATCATTATCTAATGTTAACACTTATAAATATCTTTCATGTTATTTTTTTAAGATCTCTGTATGCATTAGTTATATATTATGTTATGTTATTCTATATATGTGGAGGAAGTCTAGCTGCTGACATACTGATACATGTAACTTATAATGCTTTGTGAAACCTGTCTTGGCCGACACCAAGCTTAAGAAGAAAAGATTATTACCAGGAATTGGTCAGATATTAAAGTATTGTCAGTAAAATCAATTTTAAAAACAGAAAAAAACAGTCTTCTGAGAACAGAAAAAATGTCTGATATTACAGAATGCCTTTAAAGACATGTGTCAGTAAAGACAGGTGTTAGTAAAGACAGGTGCCAGTAAAGTCAGGTGTCAGTAAAGTCAGGTTTCATATAATCTGTACATGTATTAAATTATACAATCTAGATTTTTTAGGGGTGTAAAATCTATAATGTATCATAGCGAAGTAACATACAGTTCAATGATAGATAGATGTCTTAAAAATAAGTTTGATAAGTACTTCCATCAATATCTTCAAAAACAGGCAATTGCCCCAACAAGATGTTGTTTACCAGGTGTTTATCGGGAAATGCAATATCATATACAACATTTTACATATAAATATAATTTTTTACAATTGTTTTTTTAAACTTAATACAACATTTATTATTCTACCATTAGTAATATCCTTTCTACTGCCATAATGGTTAGACTTTTTAACACGATTTAGGTCATGCAAATTAAAAGACAAGTAACCACACTTACTACAGCACCACTTACAGACCCTTTTCTATATTAATTATTTACTGCATCCTGGACCAGAATGTCCAGAAACCCTTGGTTCAGAGCTGTCACATGGTGAAATTCCAAAAATGGTAAATAACAGGTATTGTAAATTAAGGAGTTACCTCCCCTCTGCCGATTGATAAAGACTAGGAAAAGCCTTAATTAATTTAAGTGCTGTAAGCATTTCAATGACAATAACTTCAACAATATGAAGCAGTTTGGGCAGACTACAACTCCAGATTTGGAGTCAGTCAGAAAAGACCCAAAAGGTAAATAAAATCTCTGTTTTAAGGAATATTTAGCGACAAAGTAGGTGCAATATTTAAGGAATTCAATATGTCCTATGGGACAGTATAAGGAATGGGTTACCATGTGAAAGCTCTAAACCCATAGGTCTTTAATGCAACATATTTGTTATACAGTCAGTTACTGACCCTTTATAGAAACACAGAGGTAAATATAGCGTATAGTAGGGTTGAGCTAATACATTATTTCCCCCCCCCCCCCCCCCCCCTATACATACCTTACCAACTCTCTATATAATTCTATACAGAGGGTCATAAACTGACTTTATCACTAATAATACTAAGTAAACATGCGTGTTAGTAATTTGGCTCTAAAATACCACATAACTGTATTCCCTAAGGAGAAAACTTAATCACTAGAGATTATGGTCATGTAGCTGTACCGAACAGTTGTTTTGTGCCATTCCCTGTATACACTTCGCTTGATCACATTGGTAAGTAAGATTAGCTGTTTCCATAGTTGTTATGGACGGTCATTTTATCCTAAAAAGCATTACGGTTTCCTGCATTGCAAACCATCCAGCTCCCAAGATTTCTGATTTTTGTTGTTGTTGAAAATAATGGTTCAGTTTCCTTTCGACTGGGGTAGGGAAGCCTTTAGTCTATCACATCAAATCAATCACTGTTAGCTCACTTTGAAAGCAGAAAGAAGTGATAAAATATTGTACCGGTAGTTCAAATTTGAAGTATACTACCGATGATTTATATCAGGAAAATCTTATATTTCGAAGTAAACACTGACTGAAAATGATTTATTTCCGTAGCTTGTCTTCCTCATGTCTCGGTTTAGTTTCGCATCAATGCCAAATTGTTGTTATGAACAACTGTATAAAGCTAAACAAAAGTTTGAATAGTTGTTATTTACTCCTATTTATCAGCATATTTCCTATAGGAGACTGTAAATAACGTGTCGTCAAATAGGAAACAACACAAAACAACCACTGCTGTACGTAGCTACAGGACAGTAGGGATTTTATAATGACAAATTTATCGAAACTAATCCACTTTCCTCGTTTTTGGGATACCGAGCGAAATATGCAATTAATATTCATACAACTTTTTTCATTTTTACACTTCTTTTTGTTCATTTTTAACCATTGTCTGAAGAGTGCCAAGAAAATCTATAATACAAGAAAGATTTTTTTTTTTTTTTTTACAAAAGGTAAATTATATTTTAATGTTAGATTTTTTTTCTAAAACCTTTATACAGAAAAAAATGGCATGATATTTTTCAGTAATTATGACAAAAAAAATGTTTCTGTTGATTTAATCTGGTCTTTCGTGAGTTTTCGTTGACATCTAAGCCAAGTCAGTAAAATGAAAACTGTGAATTCAATAGATGTTGGAGAATTTCATTACAAACGTACTCCCAAAACCTGTTAAAACCATTGGAGGCAAGACATGCTAAGGGTCTGAACCTTACATATTTACTGGTGCAGTGAAAACCATGCCCAAGACAAACAACAACACACCATTTACAAGATTTCTAGACAAAATGGAGGGGAATTTTGAAGCCAGTTTTCACTTATTTTTTCATCAGAAGTAGCAGAAACCAAATCCAAAGGGCAATGCACAATAATTTCAAATGCTTATAATTACGAAGACGGACAAAATGGAAAAAAAAATCAAATGCTGACAAAATAGAAAATACTTTCCAAAAAGTTTGCCTCTATTTATAGAAGATAATGAATATGGTGAAAGTGATGTGAACAAGTGACATGAACATGACATAATTTTAAATATACCATGCAAAATACATAGACACTATTTACAATAAATACCGAAGCAAAGCGAATACCAGCTGTACTTGTATAAGGTACAATGTTGACAAGGCTCTCACTAGACTTTAGCTATACAACATTTTCATGCAATAACTTACTGTCGCATCGCAGGTGCTGTGTTCTCCATTACAACCCGTTACACCATTGGCGAAAGTTACAAACGAGACGGATTTATCATACCACCTGTATGGGGAGAATTACGAACCACAACTTTTTAGAAAGGTAAACAAGAACTGGGCAATGCCCCAAAGATATATCCCGAAAACTTTTGTCCCAGATGTGACTGAAACTGCTAGGCAAACAAATAACATCATGGGGTATCCTCAAGACCTCCGGCGATCTGTAAATAAGTCTATGAAACTTAATTTTTTGGAATCCTTCGGCGGAATTTTCCTTACTCGGGTGTTAGCTAATGAACAAATGTAGTTAAATGAAAAAAATTGTACTTTGTTAGGTTGAAGTCACAGACCAAGCGTACCCTGTAATGCAGAGGTGTCATTTAGATTTCCGAGATGAAATGCACTTATCCCCTCCCCAACAAATAAAATCATACTGTACTTGTATAACCATGGCTTCAGGGTTCAAAGTTCAAAAGGTCAGGGTTCCAAAACTGTAACTATGGGGGCTAGGGGTCAAAGGTCACGTTGTAAAATGATGTGGTTATAATGGCCAACACAATCCACACAAAATATAAGTCAAAATGCCAAAAGGAAAAAAGGAAACCATACACAAAATTAATGACAATTTTTTTTTAAATATCTGTAAAAAACAAATTGGAATTAAAGATCAAATAACAAAACTTACAGTACATGGATGCATGGCCATTTGATAAGATATTTGTTTGGTTGGTCAACCCAATTTTTTTTTCCAGACTGACGTTTCCAAAATTTGAAAAACAGTTTTCTTGATAATTATAAAATTCAACAAATACTTGTGTGACAGAAAGGTGAAATTTCAGTCATTCAAGTACTTGTGTCAATTTGATCTTTCCTCGTATAATGTACCTGATATATGACAATATCCCAGAAATGGCACAACATTCATATTATATAGTCTATACACAGCTGTGTTTGCATATCAAAGCAACTCACAAAACAAGCTGGCTACATGTACACAGAAAATTGTAGTACAACTGTGTATCTGTACTACAAAACCGTAAAGCATGTAGGTATATATACAGATGAGTGAATTGAAGGTGCACATACTGGTCACAGGTCAGACTGTTTATATATCTACAAGCGATAAAAGGTAAAAGCTTCAGGTAATTAGCAATGATACAGGTGTGTATTCAAGGTCAATGAGACAGGTAGGTTCAGCATGTTTTACCATGAATATCAGTTCCAGATCTACAATGTCTGAGATTTTTAATCAGCCTGACTACCTGTAAGGATATTGTAAAATCTCGTAACTCTAAAACTAAGAATCCTCTAAGGAACTTTTTGCAGTACCAAATTATATTTGATTACATTTTTTTTTTTTCAGAAATTGTCCCGACGAACTTAGGTTCCACTGTATTTGACCTTGCACGCATACCATGTAACACCAGGGGAGTACTATTATATAGGTTGTGACTACAGGTTATATAAGTTAGTGCTATAACACTGTCACACGCAGGAAACTAGCCAGACAGGATCGAAACTCACTGTAGCATCACCTGCCGAGTGCTCCACGTTCACGCCTGTTTTACCATTAGCAAATATGGGAAACGTCATAGACTTGTCGAACCATCTGCTCAACAGGAAGTGACATGTCAAGGTCACATCAAAGGTCAAAAGTAACAGTTCAATATCATTATGTACCATATACTAGTCAATAATAATAATAATAATAATAATAATAATTTGAAGTTCATATATACCGCTTTATCACAACCTGGTTCGTAGGTCGTCTCAAAGCAGTTCACAAATTATCATCCGTGGTTATAGGGCCTTTGCAACCAGCCAATATCTTTCTCAACTCCATTGGGAGCATACAGCCAGTGCTGCCATTTTGGCGCTCACAGCTAGCATTCTACTATTCTAGCACTGCCCAACCATGTACTCAATTACAGCTGAGTAGACTGGAACAAGTGGAGTAAAGTATCTTGCTCAAAGATACAACAGTGCCGTGACGTGACACGAACCAGCAACCCTTCAGTCACGAGCCCAGCGTCCTACCACAAGACTACCGTGTCTCCTTAACAACTGAGCTATCTCTTCTCAACATTAAAGTTTAGCATCATATGTAGATATTCATTATTATTCTCAAAGCCAAAGACTATAGCATTGTTTCTCTTTCAACTGGTTTTTTGCCCCCCAGCAATTTCCTATTTTTTTGGAACGGTTTTAATTTGAAAATTAACGAAATATAATTTCTACTACTTGTTTCTATTTCTTTTCCCTTTTATATATTTAAGTCTTTTTAAAACCCTTTGAGTGCTAGTCACAACTATAGTTGCGCTGTATGTCTGTGGCCACCACTGCTAGTCACAACTATAGTTGCACATTCTATAAAATGGTATTTTATATGGTCAACAGCTAATCGTGTTGATTAAAATTTAATCAAACATATAAAATAACCAACCAATGGTATTAATATGTTTTGATATTAACAGAAGTATTATTTTTGCAATATTTTTACTAAAATTGTGACTTATGAAGTTATATCTAAATTTGAACTGCAGTGAAAATTAAATTTTCCTAATTAGTTCAGCACTGATTGGTTACTGTATGTTATTTGAATGTAGCACTCTAAGGGTTAAAAAGATATTTTTTTGTTGCTATGATCAATTATACTGACCAACATTTTTATACAAATACATATTTTTGTAAAAAAAATAAAAAAAAGAGTCAAAACAGAAAGAAAGGTAGAAGGTAAGGCATTGTCGATGATAAATGAAAGTTGATTGCTTGTAATATATGAATGAAATGACTTAGAATAAGTCTGACTCTATTTAAAGCTATGAGTTAAGATAACTCTCACGAGTCCTGTCAAAACTGATAAATATTGTTTTGAATGACTAATTAAGCCAGGGTTTGAAACAAATCGTAACTCTGCGGACAAATAATGGTCTGGGATTTAAAATTCTTCATACCCTAATCTGTCCGTGCAAAAACATGACACAAGAACAGCGACAAGGCATCATATCAGAAATCTGGTCAGAGTTGACAGGATGTATATATACTAGAGTTGACAATGAGGATGGGAACAAACGACCACAGGGGTGTTGCTTAGTTACATTAGTAGGTCAAGGTAAAACTAATAGATATCCAAAAGTAATCTCTTGAACATCATCTATATTGTATTAGGAGGGGTTAAATGATAATACATATAAATATAAGATACATAAGACTCAACATTTATGTACCATAGGTCAATGTGATTTATTTGTTGACATCACATGTTCCGAATGTCTATGACAGCGTTTATCGGAACCACAGCTGTTAAAGCCTGTCGAAACAAGTCAACAAATATTGTATACTGGCAAATATTTGCCCTTCGACGTTAAAATCCATTTATCGCCCATTATTAAATCTGCCCTTTACATTTAATTACTACCTGTATTAGTTTGTTTACAATTGTTTGCTGTGATGAGAAATCCGCCCTCATTACAGCGGGCGAAAAAAGGCGAAAAATTTAAAGTGCAGGAAAAATTTCCCTGTATACAGTACATTGTTTTGACGTACAGTACAACAGTGTTGAGACTTTCTGGTCAGCCACCGTTAAATGTTACTAAGAGTTGTCAGTAAGGATTTACATTTTACCGACCACTCATGTGCCCTACTGGTCAGCGGGGTCATCTGAACAAGTACAATGACATTTTGGACCTCCATATATGGTAATACCAAGGCACAACAAATCGTACGACTGATTTATCGTTTTGACAAAGTGACCAATGGGTAATCGTGTTTCACACAGCAATCACAGTATAACAAACACTTGGTTGTGTGAAACTGGTCTTGAGTAATATGGGGACTATTTCATAAACATGGAAGCATTATGAAGAAAAAGTGTCTTCAAAAATGAATATGATGAAAAGAGTGATGAAATTGATATTAGCAGCATGTAATAAACATGTATAATGGCTGCCCTGTAGCTGTACGTCGAAAAGTTATTGATGAGAATGGCGAAATGATAACCTTCCTGTTTTATCAAAATCCAAGTGTTTTGCTGTCATTCGACATAAAATGACATCTTCTCTGCACATTTGGAAAATATCCTGACAATAACACTAAAGGCTCACATACAGCTAGTCATTTGATCGGTTTCTGACATAAAAATTGACCAATCGCTAGGCTGATACCTGTCTTTTGGGGTTACAGAGAAGCTAAAACAAAATCGCAGGTGATCAATTTTACTGTTGTGTCGCCACACAAGTCTTTTTCTTCTTTTCTCAAAGAGATCAAATGTACGCAGGAATCCGTTAACAATTTGTGGACTAACAGCTAGGACTGCTGTCGAAGTGGAGGAGAACCAACGTCTTAGTTGTCGATGGTCGAAAGTTGGTGGTACAGTAATACTAAATAGGAATCAAAGATGGAGTTTCTGGACTAGTTAACATCTTATCTACAAGGTGGTACGTACGTAGAGAGCTTTCGATTTTGTCAAGACATATTCCAAATGTGTAAAGAAAACATTTAATGTTTATTGAAAACGGAGCCCTTGGATTTCGAAAGGTGTTTTCATTTTAGCATCTACTAGAAATATATATAAATGGCATTATATAGCATGTTGATAGTATGGACGACAGATTTAACATTTTGGAAGACACTTGTTTTTGACCTCAGCACTAAATTCATAAACTGTGTACACAGTATCTATATTTCCCTCCACAACATCCAGGCCCAGTGGTCCTGCAGCATTCAATCCAAATTTCAATGTTACATTTTTAGCACTACATTTGAGAACGTAAAGTAACATATTTGTAAACAGATAATTATACTGTAAATTGTTTTATATAATTTGTCTCATTATGTCAATGTTTTAGAAATTTTCGATTTTTTTCTTCTTCAACATTTGTCTTTCCTCGAAAATCGTGAAATTTACTAACAGCACTTTCAACGCTGAATAATCGTAATTTCCAGCAATTTTAAATATCTATGCGAACCCAAAGTTAAAGTACCGTCTATTTGTTTTAGTTACGCACTAAGTCTTGAAATTTTTCTTGAACTTATCATTTTAGTTGCCATGGTAAGCTTGTTATAATGAATCATCTCATTGAATATATGAATATCACCTGAAATAATAAGTTGTTAAGTTTCAAATTATATTGCTTGTTTATTATATAATTTAATACATATCAAAATCATATTATTATTTTTTCCCCTCCATATTCTTACCTGTTAAATCCACTTCCAACCATGATATATTTTCCATTCTCTTCAATTGTCTGAAAAAATAAAAAGGATGAGAATGCTGATATTTTGACTTTTAACCCTTTCACCCCTATGTTACTTTTAGTAGTCTCCATCATGCATAGATCTGGATGAGTCCATTATGGTCAACAGTGGTGATACCATTTATAATTTACTTTAATAACATGAACAGCCTACTCCATGATATGATTGCTCATGTAGAAAAGAAGTAAATATTTCTCTTTCATATCAAAGAAGTCTGGTAGAATTCATACTCGACTCATTCACCCCTGAAGACACATTTGAACTCTTCGAATTCAAGGGTTGGAATAGTTCAATATGAAACTTCAGGGGTGTTAGATTGTCAGAAGAAAATATAATATGATGTTGATGTTTCTTATTGTTAAAATGTACATCATCTAATTAATCAACCTCAGTCTTTTTTTTTCAAAAGATTAGAAATATTAGAAAAAGAAACATTCTTGAGATACAGAACATCTTGTAAATATGTTGTGTAGAAATTACCATAATTATCCCACTATAACCCCAGGGAGCCAACACATAATCTCAGACTTAAAGTTATGGGTGGGCTTATTACAGGACAATGAAACAGCATTTGTTGGCAATTTTACTGCACTGTAGTGCCAAGAGATAGGGGTGGGCTTCTCACCAGGCATGGTCTACTGCTGGTTAAATACAGTAATACCTACCATTATATGTTGATAATCATAAGCAAGACTTTAATAGGTGGAATTGGTAAGGGGCAAAATAAGGATTCTAAAGGATTCTATGTTATAAACATTACGGAACTATTATTTTTCAAATGAACTATAAAAACCATATTCTATTGAACTTACTGTTGGTAGCTCCTCATCCAGATATACAAGAAATATGGCTGACTCCACATCTTCTATACTCTTTTTATTAAGTTTGCTTTCCATCATTCTGGTACGGATCTGAAAATTCAAGTCACAGGTGATGTGAAAAATTAATTTTTTTTGGACGTAGATTTCATAAGTACTTATTCTGTGGTTTGAATATCTATCTGTATTGTAAAATAACTATTTTTTATTTACATTCTTCACCCTTTCTTTGATAATGGTCTTTTGTCCTGGTAACATATCATTTATAATCCTAATGTAAAAAGAAAATCAAAAGCGGGAAAAAAAGGATGAACAAGCCAGCCATTGATGTGTCTATGTCAATGATGGTGACAATTTAAAAAATATATATGACCCTGTGTCTACAACCGATACATGAGCCTGTCTTTCCCGTTATATTGGACTGCAAGAAGTCCCTCCTTGTGTCATTATATTCAACCTTTATGACAGAGAGAGAATTGTTTTTACGGGACTATTCTGACTTTTCTTTTTATTCCTACCAACACTGTTAACTGCTAATTAAAATGTGACTTACATCAGCCCATTTGTCTCTCTTGAGAGCTGTAAATACCGCTGCATTGCTATTGTCTGTTGACTCTGAAATACATCGCAGTAAAATCGTTGATAAGATGTCACTGTGAAGGTGTAAACAACTGTTTTTTTTGTTTTCTGAGTCTCTTAATAAATATGTATTAAACACTTTGCCTGTTTCCCAAGAAAATATAGAAAGCCAGTCAACAGTTGAAAATATTGTATAGTCAATAGTTTAGACAGTGTCTGGCGAACTGATTGGGTGACGTTGATGTACAGCAACCAATCAGATTTACCAGTCAATATTTTTGACTGTTGTCTCACAAACTCTGATTGGCCAACAGCAGCTTTCAACACCCAGAGATTGAAGAAACTAATGCTGCAGATAACAAATTTATTTTACACTGATCAGGTAACAAACGATTGTTTCATGTATTTACAGTCGACAGTTGAAACTATTTCCCTCAACGTTGGGACCAACCTAATGAACCGTTTCCCTCAGCCAGCGGCTTCGGGAAACAGTTAAATAGATTGGTCCTAATATGATTTCAAGAAATAGTTTTGTTTGTCTATGGATTGTAAATGCATGAAACAACTGTATAATATTTCACTCCTGATTGCCATTCTTTATTTGGGCCAAACGGTATCAAACGCAAGGAGATAATATCTCGGGATGATAAACATGTTCGAAAGTTAAATAAATTACTTTCACATAAATGAAATATCAAATTGTTGTGTAATATCTTGACCAAAGCCTTTTAGAAAACATGTAAACTGTACATTCGGATGACTTCATTCTGTAGAAATATTTGTTCTGACTTAGAAGCTAATGACATAAGTGTTAATCAGGTCAAACCTTCTGCATCTTTTAGAATGTGTTCGATGATGGGGAGGATTTCGGCTGGTGTGAGTAATCTGTCCTTTCCATCATTATCAGGTGCATAGACGCTCAGCTTGTAATAACAGCCCTTTCTAAATGAAAAAAAAAAACAACATTTTAGAAGAGATATTATTTAAACCTTTTTTTACAGCAACTCTGAAGTCATAACTTAAGTTCATCACTACAATATATAGGACTAAAGTTATCGGTATTTCAGCAAAACATATACAACAATCACAATAACAAAAGATGCTTAAACCTGGCTGTGTTTATAGCCTTCAGTATGTGTGTGTATGACAACCCCAGGTGTTTGAATTGGAAGACATACTCGTCCATTCTTAAAAATTTGCTAACATTAAATCATGAGCAATGATCAGGTAAGAATACACCTGCCCCACGATAACAACACACATACAGTTAACTGCTTAGGAAGTAGTTTCAAGAATATGTTGTACTAATACTGTACACTGGTTTAACTTTGCTTATTTAAGTACTGTAAAACCCTTTTGTAATGCCACCAGTTAAACTGCCAAACCAGCATACCGCCATTAATTTACTCCGAACGGATTTCCCCCAACAATAATGCACCCGTTGTAACGCCAAACCCGCATACCGCCATCTGCCATCATATTCCCAAAACAAATGGTTAAAATCACACTATTTTGACCTCGTTAATTACCGCCAATTTGAGTGAACAGGTATATCCCGATGACAGGAATGTTACGTACATATGTACACAGATGTATGGTTGTGTACACATGAAATCGTTCAACCATAGCTAGACCTTCGTTGTCTTTCTACAGGTAAGCTTTACTGCAAGAGTTACGATGAATAAAGCTCATTTCTGCAATTAAGAGATCAAAGAGCGATTGATACCAGAGAACCAGGAAGTAGATTTACATAATTTACTCGAGAGAGTTCAGGATGAGCTAGACCTAGATCCTGATTTGCGCCTCACAGTGAGACAAATCATTGATATTGACAAACAACTGGCACCCAGTGAAGCTGTCGTGGACGATGACATTATCAAAATTATCACCACACACACAAACTCTAACAATGAAGACGACGACAATATGGAAGTCAACAAAGCTTCGCTCACTACGAATGCTAAGCAGAGATGGTAATAGACACTGTTGTTAGATATTTAGAACACAAAGAATCTACAACAGAGTCGGACATTCAGAAATGTATAGTGATACAGAATTTCGTACAGTCAATAGGACAAAACAAGGCAAGATAAACGACCATCTGTGATTTTTTTCAGCGTCAGTTCTAGTGTGTAACATTACGAATAAGTACATTCATGTACTGTGGTGTAAAATTCTGCATTGACATTGTCGGGATATCACTGCAATAATTAAACATTATTTGCGTGTGACACTTCTATACAAATAGTGGTTATGTTTTGCATGGTCAACAATTTGATACATTAAATAACAATTTTGAGAAAAAACACCATTTTCTGTAGTTTATTAATATTTTTTTGAAAATATAAGTTCAGTTGATATGTGAACACTTTGGTTCAAAACGGTAAACCTGATATTCCACCAAACTTGTCATACCGCCGAAATCATCGAGGACAGAATGTGGCGGTATAACGGGTTTTTACTGTACATCTACAGTATGTGAAGTTCAGGTTTGACTGAATTGAATTCATGGCATATTAATTACCTCATTATCACAATATGCTTTGAATCTTTAAAGGTGACCAGCTCGTCAACGTGTTTACCAGGTATACGGGACGTACAAAACTGCATTCTGAAAAGCGGAAAAGAACACCAATGTAAACAAATAGAAGATTTGCGCAGAGGAATACAATGTACCTTAAAATTATGAAGAAAGACGTTTCTAAAACAATAGTAAACTCATTGACTTTTCCATATGCACATTAACGTTTAAAAGGGTGTCTTTATCTTCACAATGTTTTTTTCATAATCTTTGCTTCTTATAATGATTTGATTATGACAGACTATTTTCTTATGGGGAGCACCTTCGTGTGGTTATATACTATTCTACGGTTCAGGACATCACCTGGCGTGAGCAGGTGTTCTTTTTTGATAAAATACTGTATAACGTGAAATCTTCGTTGTGTATAAACATTCATTGTTTTCGTGGTTGTTATATATAGAACCACAAAAATAAATACAACAAATTTGAATGATGCACGTTTCTACTGTTTGTTGATACATGTAAAGGACATCCACAAAAATTTGTACCACGAAACGATCTAAATGGCTTCAAACCACGACGGAAAGTTCCCACGAACATTTTGTGTTACACAGTAGGACAATCCATTCTCATGTTGTTCTCAAGTCCTTCTCAACTTCTTTTTGAGTATTCTCATACTGACAACCAATTGTAATGAATTTACCATGCTAGCAGTAGGTGGGATAATGTAGTATAGAGGTGATGATGTTACATATCTATATCATAAATATTAATAATTATAATTTTCTCTGGATGTTCTGAACATAAATATTAAGATGTGTGTGCATCTTTTCAACAATGTATACATCATAAATGTTAAAAAGATGCATTTCAGTCCTAAACTACTGTATACCAGTAAATGTTCGCTGCAGCTTAATTTTCACCTTTTTTCACCCTCTGCAATGAGGCCAATTTATCATTATAGCAAACATAAGTAAATAGTATAATAAACATAGTAATTAAACGTGAAAGGTGAAAATAACACTGGGCGAAAAATTATTTCGTTGGCGAAGGGCGAAAGTTTGACTGGGCGAAAATGTCCCAGTAATACAGTATCAGCGTCTATTGAGTCTGTTTACCTGTAACCGTCCATACATATAGGTATCATGTCCTGAAGAAACTGTGGTTTTAACGTGTCCTCCAAAATAGTCTCATGAAATCTGGAACAGGAAATCATATTTAATATAAATGTGCAACAATGTGAAGTAGACAGTATAAAAAATAAGAAGCTTTATACCATATAGTAAACGAATTTAATTCACCTCTAAAGTCACATTTGAACCTTACCAAATCAAAGACTGGGCAAGTCCAGTTAAAATATGTAGGGGTGAATGAGTTAAAAAGCATGTTGAAAGCACTTTACAGCCACATACTATATCTGACTAGATCTATCCAACTTTTCGTTACTGTACATATATGAAGTTTAACAGTTGTGATATTGTAGCACGCTTGCTTTTGATAACTGTAGCAGATGCATCTTACTTTAAAATTGTTACAGTGGCATGTGGGTTCTTCACAGGCCGTTAAAAATGATAAAGCCAAAAATGTCGGGAAAAGGGAAAATTCTTATGAAAAAATAATATCTTGAATAACAGTTCATATCAGTGTACTACGGAAAGCTGTAATAAATTTGAACATGTTGAGTTACCTTAGTATCCAGTGGGTAAGGTTAGACGCCCTGGCCGCCTGGTTAGTGCTACATGCCTCCTTCCTGTCTGTTGCATAGCAATTCACGTTCACTGTTGGGAGATAAAAAATCTCATTACTTCTTGGTGCAAGTTTGTATTTCTAGACTAAGGCCAAAAGACATGATTACCCCTACTGTCACTGGAACCCGAGAGTAAAGTTTGTATTTCTAGACTAAAGCCAAATGACATGGTTACCCCTACTGTCACTGGGACCTGAGAGTAAAGTTTGTATTTCTAGACTAAGGCCAAATGACATGGCTACCCCTACTGTCACTGGGACCTGAGAGTAAAGTTTGAATTTCTAGACTAAGGCCAAATGACATTTACCCCTACTGTCACTGGGACCTGAGAGTAAAGTTTGTATTTCTAGACTATGGCCAAATGACATTTACCCCTATAGCTACTGTCACTGGAACCTGAGAGTAAAGTTTGTATTTCTAGACTATGGCCAAATGACATTTCCCCCTACTGTCACTGGGACCTGAGAGTAAAGTTTTTATTTCTAGACTATGGCCAAATGACATTTCCCCCTACTGTCACTGGGACCTGAGAGTAAAGTTTGAATTTCTAGACTAAGGCCAAATGACATTTCCCCCTACTGTCCCTGGGACCTGAGAGTAAAGTTTGTATTTCTAGACTAAGGCCAAATGGCATTTACCCCTACTGTCACTGGGACCTGAGAGTAAAGTTTGAATTTCTAGACTAAGGCCAAATGACATTTCCCCCTACTGTCACTGGGACCTGAGAGTAAAGTTTGAATTTCTAGACTAAGGCCAAATGACATTTCCCCCTACTGTCCCTGGGACCTGAGAGTAAAGTTTGTATTTCAAGACTAAGGCCAAATGACATGGTTACCCCTACTGTCACTGGGACCTGAGAGTAAAGTTTGTACATATAAATTGGCCAAAAGAGTTTGGAATTCCTTCTGTCACAGCTAGTGATAATTAAGTTTGTATATCATTACCAGCTCATCCTCCATCCCCCACACCCCAAACCTGTACCATGGCGTGACCATAAAAAGAATGGTAACTCTAAAAACAGTCATAGCACTGGCATTCTATTAACTTTTAATGCCCACCAAGTCTCAAAAACATTGGAAGGAAATTGAAGGAATAACTGCTGTTCTGACAAAGTTGTGTTTATATGCATAAAATGAAAAGATTCCCAGTATTAGAGGTGTCAAAATATGCCAGGGGTGTATCACGATATATTGCAATACAGAAGGAATGTATTACAATAAGTATCCCGATATATTGTCACAGGAAAAAGGCGCTTATTTTAAAAAGAAATTGTTGTTGCGATACAACGATATTTCATTTCTGTATTAAATTAATATGAAGGGAAACGAAGACGATTCTTTTTATCATACAATTCAAAGAAAACTGTCTAATTGTGATCTGAAACGAAAATATTTTGCACTTGAAATTGCGTCTTATTAAGTGATGTCACATGCATTGATTGTTCCTATTTGGTTGTGACGTCATTTCCGGAGTGATATATTACACATGTTACATATACTTAATTTATGTGATGGCTTTATGACACTGCATAACATGGTATTCATATGATAAACCTAGTTGTCTATTACACAGTATGTCGCCCGAGACTATTTGTTTGGTTTATGAGATTGTGATGCAGAACAATATTTCACAAGCACTTTTGTCTACAGAATCAATACATTTAAACATGGCTGCCGGTTATATTCACTTTGCTGATTAAACAAGCAATCACAAAAATAACTCCCAGTCAAGTCGGTTGCCATGGAAACTGTGACACTTAATTTAATCTCCTATTGAATATGTGATTACAACAAAAATTTAAATGTCAATCGTTAAATGTTGATTGTCTTCAGAGGCATTCTGGGTACGTGAAACAGGCGAATATGTTCTGTAACATCATCACAGGAAACAGATTTAGTTAACATTTTAAAAACCGCCTGCATTTATAATTTTCAACAGATCTGTCATGAAAAAATTGCTCGGGATACAAAATGTCATAGTGCTTGTAACATATTCTCTTAAAACAAATACAGATATGTTTTTTATCATGACTGAAGAAAATCAAGACCATCAACCCATAAACTGGGATGTAGCAAAATGATAAATATTGATTTATAAACATACTTCCACTTTGATGAAATATGATATTAGATATGACAAACTCTTTGCGAGGAAATATTGATCACAGCCAAATAAATGACTCATTTATAGGCTTGTGCTGTAAAATTTATGTAAATAATATCACAGATATATGTCATGAAACATCCAACATGTTTAAATTTAGCCTTATTTTGTACTTGAAAATGAAAACAGTACAGTAGAATTACAGTAATACACGAGTTCAGGCCCATCTGTTCCTAAAATAAAACTATTAATCACCTTTTCTACACATTTGAAAAAGTAAATTACAACTCATGACTCAAACTCTTTCGCTATTAAACAAGGAGAATTATTTCAGTAACAAATCTGTGACGTGGTCAAGGATGAAGAAAATATAATAAAAAAAAATTCAAAGAAAAAGCTATATGTTGGGACAAAAATTCCTTCTTCAAGTATCTGCAATGTATTTCTCTGTACTTGTAGATGTATCTAGCTAGAGGTGATAGATTTATAAATGAGGTTTGCTGTCATGATGTCAGCAAGTTCTCACTATAATATGGGTCGAAATTGAAAGTGAAATTTATTTTATAGTGATCTACTATTCATATCTTTTACTTTGTCATATCTTCAGATATATCTACATATAAGGTTTGGAGTTCCCAGATGCTATGATACAGAAGATATGTGCTCCAGAAGTCTGTCTGATATGCCACGAGTCAAAGGTCAAACAAAGGTCACAGTGACCTACATTTAGCTAGAGACACAGACTGTTTGATATAACAATGTAAAAGGTCAAACAACGGTCACAGTGACCTACATTTAGCTAGAGACAGACTGTTTGATATAACAAAGTAAGAGGTCAAACAAAGGTCACAGTGACCTACATTGAATTACAGTCAGACAGACAGACGGACAAATGATGGAGGAAGTACAATCTTATTTTTCTCTCATGCAGTACCAGTGGGTGGTAATAATATTACCTGTACAGAAAATCACCCAATACAATAAAGTGCTTCAATTTTCATGATTCTCTAAATAAAACATATTTACCTTAAGTTAATTTTATGGTCATTGATCCCATTATTTTAAGAAACGCTTTTGCCGAACGAGATATTAGCCAAGCTAGTTCCTGATAAAAGTTTTTAATCCCGACCCCCACTCCCCACTATTACGAATTGGGATCAGGTGTAAGTCAGATGACATTGTGAACGAGTCTGATTGTGAAGGTTTGGGGTAGATATGAATAACACAAAACTGATCTGAAGTGGTTTAAAAACTTGGTCTGTAAATTACTTTGTCCGCTTTTAAGTGATTTCCTTCCGTCTTAAAAGAAATTTCGACAATATACTCATACATGTACAAAAGGCAAGCATTGATATGGAAATGACTTAATCCTTCCCCTTTTATATAAATAGTAGTGTCCGTATAGGCGTAATTAAGCAATCGTTTAACTCTAGACCCTGGCTATCAGTCAAAGCTGGTGACTCGTACATACCCTTCCTGTATATCAGAATACACATATAGAAATATCCCTATTTCATACAGTCATGTACCAGTCAGTCCTGTATAAATTTTAATATGATTTACATGGCCCACACAATTCCATTCATTTCCTGTATACTTGTGCTTGTTATAAATTATACTTGTTGTGTGCTAGTTATAAATTATGCTTGTTGTGTGCTTGTTATAAATTATACTTATTGTGTGCTTGTCATATATATTATACTTATTGTGTACTTGTTATATATTATACTTGTTGTGTGCTTGTTATAAATCATACTTGTTGTGTGCTTGTTATAAATTATACGTATTGTGTGCTTGTCATATATATTATACTTATTGTGTACTTGTTATAAATTATACTTGTTGTGTGCTTGTTATAAATCATACTTGTTGTGTGCTTGTTATAAATTATACTTGTGCTTGTTATAAATTATACTTGTTGTGTGCTAGCTATAAATTATACTTGTTGTGTGCTTGTTATAAATTATACTTGTTGTGTGCTAGTTATAAATTATGCTTGTTGTGTGCTTGTTATAAATTATACTTATTGTGTGCTTGTCATATATATTATACTTAATGTGTACTTGTTATAAATTATACTTGTTGTGTGCTTGTTTTAAATTATACTTGTTGTGTGCTAGTTATAAATTATACTTGTTGTGTGCTAGTTATAAATTATACTTGTTGTGTGCTTGTTATAAATTATACTTGTTATGTGCTTGTTATAAATTATACTTGTTGTGTGCTAGCTATAAATTATACTTGTTGTGTGCTTGTTATAAATCATACTTGTTGTGTGCTTGTTATAACTTATACTTATTGTGTGCTTGTCATATATATTATACTTAATGTGTACTTGTTATAAATTATACTTGTTGTGTGCTTGCTATATATTATACTTGTTGTGTGCTTGTTATAAATCATACTTGTTGTGTGCTTGTTATTAATTATACTTATTGTGTGCTTGTCATATATATTATACTTAATGTGTACTTGTTATAAATTATACTTGTTGTGTGCTTGCTATATATTATACTTGTTGTGTGCTTGTTATAAATCATACTTGTTGTGTGCTTGTTATAAATTATACTTATTGTGTGCTTGTCATATATATTATACTTATTGTGTACTTGTTATAAATTATACTTGTTGTGTGCTTGTTATATATTATACTTATTGTGTGCTTGTTATAAATTATACTTGTTGTTTGCTTGTTATAAATTATACTTGTTGTTTGCTTGTTATAAATTATACTTGTTATGTTTTTGTTATAAATTATACTTGTTGTTTGCTTGTTATAAATTATACTTGTTATGTGCTTGTTATAAATTATACTTATTGTCTGCTTGTCATATATATTATACTTATTGTGTACTTGTTATATATTATACTTGTTGAGTGCTTGTTATAAATTATACTTGTTATGTGCTTGTTATAAATTATACTTATTGTGTGTTATAAATTATACTTGTTGTGTTCTTGTTATAAATTATTCTTGTTGTGTGCTTGTTATAAATCATACTTGTTGTGTGCTTGTTATATATATTATATTTGTTGTGTGCTAGTTATAAATTATACTTGTTGTGTTCTTGTTATAAATTATACTTGTTGTTTGCTTGTTATAAATTATACTTGTTGTTTGCTTGTTATAAATTATACTTGTTGTGTGCTTGTTATATATATTATATTTGTTGTGTGCTAGTTATAAATTATACTTATTGTGTGCTTGTTATATATTATACTTGTTGTGTGCTTGTCATCAATTATACTTGTGTACTTGTTATATATTATACTTGTTGTGTGCTTGGTATAAGTTATATTTGTTGTGTGCTTGTTATAAATTATACTTGTTGTGTGCTTGTCATCAATTATATTTGTTATGTGCTTGTTATATATATTATACTTGTTATGTGCTTGTTATAAATTATACTTGTTGTGTGCTTGTTATAAAATACACTTGTTGTGTGCTTGTTATATATTGAACTTGGGATTTGTTTTTGTTAACAAAAACAAACATCTTCCCGTATCAGCAGATATGATTATTTTTTTGCACTTATTTGACCTTTAACCTACTATTTAGCTATAAGCCTACAGATGGAGGTCACACTAACCTACTTTCTGTGAATAAGAACATAGCCGATACTCCAACTCACCATAATTTTGTGATGAAAACATAAAGGAAATTGTTGATGTTTTGTGTCTCTTTGTGACCCAGGACTAATTGATGTGCGCCCAACCTTAAAATATTTCTGGGGAGATACCTAAGTCTGATGAAAAGTGAAGTAAATTATCAGCACCAAAATCTAATAAATAGCAAGCCTTTTGATAATTTTTACAGTAATTCAAAAACCCTTAATCTGTAACAAACTCATACTCATGCCCACACCAACACCCACGCCATGATGTATATAGCATATAATCTCTGTTCTCCAAACACACAAACTAACATTAATATTTACTTGTTTATGAATGTTACTTAAAGAAAATTCAAACATACTGTAAATGTGTATATGATTTGTGTAGACATTACATGTATACACTTTCTTAATTAGAGTATTACTGCAGACTTGTCCTCAGGATATCTATGTATTACATGAAGTCACCTGAGGGATCTATACCGGTTTAATGTCCACAGAGCTATATTATACTGTCACTATATCTGAAGGAAAATGTGTATTTTATACATCTTTAACAAATGTCAAATCCTTTTTCCCTAGCGAATTTAACATGCATATTCGCAATTTCATAAAGTATTTTAAAAATTTCAATAATTTCCTACAAATTAAGAAAATTTAAAGAAAAGTTTCACTTAGTTCCCATACATCTCTATGTAATGTAAGGCACTGGAGGGTTGATAAAGGCCTTCAATAAATTCTTATTACTAGCATTGTTGTATTCTTTCAAAAAATGTTACTTTATTTTCCCAAAGAAAAAAGTACAGAATCTTTTAGAATGTCAGCAAACTACTGCTTGTGAATAAAACCACACCTAATTGTAGCCTCACCACACTCCCTCCCTCCCTTACTTAAGGATTACTTTGGGTTTTGATTTGTTTGTGTTTTACACCCTATTGTCATTTAAGGACGTGCCAGGTTTTGGTGATAGAGGAAAGCCAGAGTTTCCGGAGAAAACCCACCAACTGACGGCCAGAACATGGCGTCTGCCGGGAACCCGCAACTGATTTTCTTATCATGTAGAGGTAATTCATGGGGATTTCGATTTAATGTTGAAAAATTGTGCATTTACTATTCGGTACAGTTTTGCATGGCGTCATCATTTTTTGTGGTTACGTAAAGAAACACGAACATGCTCTGTGTCCAATTTGATTGTTGCATATGAAGCAATACCTGACCAGCAACATCAGCTGTTGTGTTAAATGAACAATGAATCTCTATGTAAAAATAGCACTGCCCCAAAAATTATCATGCTTCTGACATATTTTACTGTATGACAAAGAACAATTTGGTATTTACCAGCACAGGGTTCTCTGTAGGTGAGATAAGCCAGGTTTAACCAGTAATGTGACAACCAGTTCTCCTCTGTGGCAAACCTAAAACACAGAATCATATAAAAACATGTAGAGGTAATTCACCTCAATAAGATACAGTACTAACTGGACATAAACATTTCTCCCACCTAAATTATGTAAGCCATATATAGAGGTCCCTCAAACTAGAGGGCCGGGGGACCTCTAGTATCATCTTTATCTTACTCAAGTTAATTAATTAACAAATTTTACAAAGAAACAAGGTTAAGTGTCTTTTACAAATTGAAAATTAACTTACGACAGTTAGTTAGATAAATACGATATAATCAACAATCACAAGTTTGTGGACCTTTTTTTTCCAAAAACTTTCAAATATTTTATCTAGAAAACCAAACGTTTCTCTTGGATATAGATATGTTGATAATGAAATTTCTACCATCTGGTGCAGAATTTTTTGTCAAAACCTTGGCAAAGCCTTATCAGTTCTAACCCCAAACTCTACACCCTGGGGTAAAATATCCATATCCACCATAGCTAAATATGATAGACTCTATTAATCATATATACATTTTTGTTTGAGGAATTCGGAGTAATTCCAGGAACAACGGCTTGACTAATCAGGGGTAACTTACAAAGAACTTGTACAAACTCGGTAGGGACTAAATGAACTGTTCGACGAATGAGGCGTATTCAAGTAAACCGAGTTTGAGGAAGTAGGGTTTAACTGTATATATGCATTATTTTTAACAATAACATTTATGCAAATCAATTAGATATCAACATCTATCAAAAGCTATCTTTTGCAAATTCTTTAGTTTTTTCATTCAATGTGAACGTCTCCTCAAAGAAGTAACAAATTAAATAATACTTCTGAACACAGCTCTATTCCACCTTTCACTAATCAGCAGGCAAAAGTCGAAAATTTACAAAAAACATTTTTTGCATTCATGCAATAACACATGATTGAATACAAAACGTTTTATAAGACACAAAATCTGTATTAAACACGCCAGGTGGGTATATATAGAGATGTTTGACCTTTTAACATTGCATTTTTCTGATGGAAGCCGGCTACTTTTAAAAGCTTACTTTTGAAGCAGGTGTTTTTGGAGTGTTGGACCTTCTTTCTCCTTGAATGATAAAACAGCTGTTAATAGGTTCATGAAGTCCTCGTCAGACAGTAGGGGTCTCATGGACGTCAGGTATCTGTGGCGACAAAAACGATAATTCAGACGTTGATCAAGATTGCTTACAATGCACTTTTCCAGTTATTTCAGTCCTCAGGTGTTGTAACCCTGATAAGCTGAATGAATTATAATAATGTAAGTTTTTAAATAACTATTTTTGAAAGAAAAAAATTCTATATTCCAATTTTTGTGATTTCATCTTGTTTTGTATTTTTTAGTAAAAAATGCAATTTTTTGCTGCAGTTTAATTTTCCTTTGATTTATCATTACAGAGAACATTAGTTAACAAAATAGCACATATAGCAATTAACTGTGAAAGGCAAAATTAAAACTGTGAGAACATGGATTTTACTAGTGATGGGCAAAAGTTAGACAGCTGGGTGAAAATGTTTCTGTATACAGTATACATAAACTGTACATCTACTTACTTCTCACAGGTGATGTTGAGATCTGGTACGGGGAGGTGGGGTAGCATTGGCTGAAAGAAGTACAGTGGGAAGTTGCCCTTTCCGACGATGGCCTTCAACATCAGCCCCCATAACTGTAACACACAAAACAGGTCGCAAAGTTTATCATGTGCAAAAGTGAATTAAAACGGGAGGTCTTAATGAGTTATGCAGAAATTATAAGAGGTCCAAAAATGTTTTACTTTTTTATCATAAAAGAATTCAATTATAGCAATTGTAATACTTTCATGACATAAATTATTAAAATTTTAATTTTAATTGACGACAGCAATCAGTTGCTCAGTTGCCATTTATAAATTATGTTTCTGTATCTTGTGGTTAGATTTCATGGAGGTTGCATTTTTCGTATATTTTTGACCTGAAACACCAGCAAGATATAAACTTTGATGAAATCTGTTGCCATTCTGATAGACGCCTAATTACGTATACAAGGACCATTGATTTTTAGAATCGATACTCAAACATTTGAAACTGTGATTTTCTTTTCCAGAAAACAGAGCCACAATTATTCAAGATATATGATGTACGAGAAACGCATAACCTAATACAGCCACCGATACATGTGAGGGTAGATGTTGTTTGTTTCTTAAATTTTGTTACATAATTTATATAAATATTGATGTTGTTCTAGGATTGTAATTTCTTGGAAAGATGTTTATCTTATGCTGGTTTACACATGTATCAGGTATTTGTCCATATGGGAGTGGGAAATAGGACACTGTTCTTCATAAAAATTTATTTTTAAAATTTTATTTTTGGGAAATACACTGTTCTACCACATCCTACATCCTACCCTGTTTAACCAGTACATTTCAAAGCAGCCTCTCTCCACATTCTAGTTCTTCAGAGAGTAAGCCATATAAGCCTTATTTAGCTATTAGACTCACAAGTAGAATGTTTCTTTAATCAGCAATGCTATCTATAATTATAAGAATTATAAAAGATACGTTGTAAATTTATATACATTTACTATCATTAAACTAAAACAAGTGGGAACATGTACATATACAGAATATACAAATTATGTGTCTATATCTTGCGTCCATATAACTTCCTTCGAAGACGTCATTTGGTTTAATGTTGTATTGATATATGGATTCCTCGAGATATAGATAGGACACGTCCCACCATTATTAGATCAATTTAAGATAAGGGAAATTTTTTGCATGTAGACTGAAATAAATATCATGATATGAAAGTCATGTTTATTATCACATACACTGTACATGTATAGTCAATTAGTGCCAGACCCCTTAATTAAGTAACGTAGCACAGGCACCATGTACGTAACATTCCATACTATTTGTTGTTATATAATTACATTTAATTGTATAGGCTATAATGTAAAAGCCTGTAGTGGTCAGGCGGTCATAATTGTGCATATATATATATATTAATGCCTGAAGAGCTGCAGTAAAGCAGTGAAAGGCCTTGATCAGAATCTGTCTTCTTGTAAGTTTTTCATTTTCATATTCATATATTAATGCCTATACATTAATGTAAACACGACGTACTTGTAACATGCACTACCCACATAACCAGAGAAATGATCATAGGAAATGGAAACTTGACTTGTTCTGGCAAGCATCCTTCCTGATCGGCAAGGCATATAAACGTTAGGTCGTACATTCACAAGTAATTGGCTTGACATCGGAGACTGTAAGCTGTTCGCATACATACTTGTATGTATATATGTTAATTAGAATTGTACATAAACTGTATGTGTATGTTTAAACTACATGTGTTTGTCTGCATGTTTTCCCACTTCAATTTCCTTATGAAGTAGTTGCCTATGTGGTGAATATTGGGACTGATACGGTAAAATTTTCACAACTATTAAAAACCAATAACAAATACCACAGACAACTCAGTGGAATACATTAAAACTTATTCAATGTCCACACACTATTAGCTGATTCCCTAATATTAACTCATTCACCTCTGAAGATACATTTGAACTCTTCCAATTCAAAGGTTGGAACAGTCCATTATGAAATTTCAGGGTTGAATGAGTTAATAAGATATCCCCGATAAGATAATTATATAAATTACATAATTGCCGTAAGCGAGGTGGCAAATGAAAAAAGCTTCAAACTTACTGCGAGGTTTTACTGTACAATTCTTAAGCTGATTCCTGAACACAAAATTTCTATAGGAGTAAAAATTTTCCCTGCAATTATGCAAATTTTGGATCCCCTGTAAGGGTTCGTTATAACTATTTATATAATCCATTAACATTTTGAGTTTCCCACAGGCTACAGGTACACAGCAAGATTTAGTAATGTTTCAAAATAAATACCTTTGATTTACCGAATATGCTATTATAGTTCATGATCAGATACGTATACCTTAAAGTTTTAATTACAACTGTGCTTTGGCATTTAAATGGAGTCCATTTATTTATCAATAAATGGGAAGTCTTTGTTTCTCATGGTTATGTCAGATAGGAAATATTGATGATAATGTATTTTAGCTTTAAATGAATAGTACTGGTTCAGTGTGAGAATGCTGTGGGTATGGTTAGCTATAAGCCTACAAAGTAGTTTAAGAAAATCTGTTTTCTGCTTTCCTTATACAAATACACATATTTGTCCATTCTAACAAATACAAAATATGCATAGTTCATGTTTCTTAAACATATGTAATAAAACGTTTTGGAGTTATCTAAAATTACTGGTCGTCATGTTTGAATTAACATTTAAAATTAAATTTTAAATCATTAATCGATCAAACTGCGGTATTGCAGCTTAAATGCCAAATGGGTTTTTTCCAACTGGGTATAAGCCGGATTTACCTTAAGTCTTGTACCGTAAAACGTCGGCACAGTTAACAACAAACAGCTAGCCAGCCACCTAGATTGATTTTTCCATATATAACATATCGTAATTAAACACTATAGATTTCTACGATCGCTAGCCATCTTCCACTGGGTTGGGACCGTTGGACGTGGGGCAAATTCTCGTCAGGTAACTGGCATACTGTGGCCACAGGTCGGTTTGACTGTTTGTGTTTTACGTCCTATTAACAGCTATGCATGGTCAGTGTTTTTTCTCCGGACACTCTGGTTTGCCTCGGCCACCAATATAACGTTCCGAGATGACTATATAGCTGTTGGTAGGGCATGAAACACAAATAAACCAAACCAAACTATAGACTTCGGTCAGATTGCCAAGATCATTTTCTCTACATTCTAATAATCATCTTGGTGATAAATAGAATTTAATACAGCATGTCAAAAGCTGAATTTCTATTTTGGTCTTTTTTTTTGCTGCCTAAATTCAGTCAAACTACTGTTGACATCGAGGTATAGGGTATTACAACTTGTAGTACCAACACCAAGCTTGTTTTGAATTAATTCATCAGCCTTAATTTTTTAAAGCAGCATACAAATGTGTTCCCTAGCAGTATGAGCAGAATTTTAACAGATTTTCTATCTTTTTTATACTTTGCTGCTAACTAAACTATTTCTCCAAACATTTCTCATACAGCAGTTATTTCTCATGGATTTTACCTCTGAGGGTAATGTTTTTAGATTTTCAAGATTCTGTACCCCCAGGTACTCGGGATATATACCTTGTAGGATACTTTTTGCAGAAACGGGGAGTATAGTCACACAACCCACTGTTTTGGGGGTAGAAAACCCTCATTCGGAGGTTCTGTGGGAAAGTAAATATTGCTGCTTTATTTTAATCAAGCAAGGTATATTTATAATTTTTAAGATCAAAATTAAGATGGGAGATGAAGACTGCAGTGTTGGTAATTGACATGTTACATTGCTTTTATTTCTTGGGTACACATAAATGTACCTATGTATCAGCCTAGCTAGGGATTGAACTTCTGACCTCATACACATCAATTAAGCTATTGTATATGTGATTGACTCACAGATATTGAGTCATTCAGAATGTCTAGCCAGCGCTTATACATCCAGTTGAGGACCATCTATCAATCCATGTATTTTTTGGGCCCTGATTCACCATTTTTTTGCATTAAAATGTCCCATTTATCCTGGATCTCAGAAACCTAGCAACAACTTTGGTTGGAAACTACGTCAATTGGATTGTCAAGGCTCAACTCCCTACACTCATCAGTCTGAATATTATTTGACTGGGTTAAATAGGTAGGTACTTTGTCAAATTGTATGGTTCTAGTTTCACACTCTAAAAAAAATATGGGTTGTTAGGTATATGGGAATAATGTTATTTTATTATAATTTGTATATACCGTATTATAATGTAATAAGGTCACCATGCACAAGTAAATAAAGAGTACATAGGGCACCTTTAATTGAACAAGTTTCTCCTACGACAGCATATTTTGTATTTTGACTAGCTATTTCCCACTAAAGCAAAAAAAAAAACATTCTCCTGTTGATTTCCCCATTAAAAAAATGAATATTCATTTATCTTTTTAAAAGACCATATTGAACACTACTTGAGCAAAAACTGTTCCTTGACAATACTGTTTTTGTTCAATACACTTACGTACAGCACCATTTTGGTAGCCGCAACACTTACAAAACCAACTTGATATCTAAACTTCTGAAAAATGTAAAATCAGGAATATATTTTTTTTTTAAGACTTTATTGTAAAAAAAATGAGTTATATTTCTAAATTTCATGGGGTTATACCCTTATTTCAGGACAGATGCCTTTCCTATTTCAAATAAAGGAGGTTTCATAGAACTAGGATCTTGACGTTATCAGGGCACATTTAAAACTGACTTGAAAACTAAAGGGTAGCTAGAGGCTGTCAAATAAAAAAGTTGGCTGGAAATGTCAAAAATCCATTTTTTTTCATCACCTAAGTAGCGACCATGATATATGATCATAATATCATATATCACCTGGAGACTCTGAAGTATAATTCACCCTTTAGCTTTAGGCTGCTAATAGGTCATTTCTGCAGCTTATGGTATGACATACATGTACGAAACTACCTTGTATACGTGCAAGACCTGTCAACTTTTAATGAAAGAGACCTGGTCCCTAAAGGTTTGTCAAAATATCATTGATTTACATTTAGGTTAGTTACATGATGGTGGGAATGCAGCTGAATTTCATGGCCGCGTATA